GGAAGAATGAATCAGACTTTTAAAAACCAACTCACTAGATTAGTTTTAGAGACTAGATTACCTTGGACTAAATGTCTTCCCATGGGGGGACATTGGCCTCTCCCCCATGAAATGCTTTATGGGCTTCCTTACCTTAGCTCTGTTACTGATGTACATTCCTTTGAAACCAAAGACCATTTCCTCAAAAATAATATACTTGGATTCTTCTCTACCTTACTTTGTCTTAGGAAAAAAGGATTGTTAGCACAGGCTCCTCCACTTGACTTTCCTGTTCACCCACACCAGCCTGGTGATTATGTGCTAATCAAGACCTGGAAAGAAAATAAGCTTGAGCCAACTTGGGAAGGACCCTTTCTGGTCCTGCTGACCACGGAGACAGCTGTCCAGACCACGGAGCAGGGATGGACTCATCACACACGGGTAAAGAAGGCACCCTCACCTGACCAGAAGGAACAATGGGCTATGCTCTCACATCCAGGCAACACCAAAGTGACTTTAAAAAGACTAGTTAAAATATTCTTTCCCTTTCATTTGGGAAATGGTATGCTTATTATTAATGTAACTCAGAGTACTTTTCCCTTAATTGTTGAATTCAATGCATGCCAGATCCTTCCTTGTGGAGGCCTTATGTCCCAACTCCAGCTCCAAGGATATTCCTTTTTTATGTGCCCCATCCCAGGACCCACAGGGAAGTTGGTATCTGCCCAGAGTGGATGGATGTGGGGTGAAACACTGGGTATAAAGGACACACTTCTCCCTTTTATGACAATCCTAAGGGCTGGACCACACTCCTGGTCACTGGAAAGACTCCAATTTCTACCATCCAGAACAATCGACAGTCTTTTAACAGACTACAGTCAAAATTACAGCTGTTTCAGACACACCTCTCTCCTACTTGTAAAGATAAACAATGAAACTCACTTAGATTAGACATAGAAAGACCTTCAAGTATGACACAAGAACCATCTATATTTCATAGATACAGATTGGGGCAGATGTCTCAGGGACAGACCTGTTAGGTGCCTTTAAGCTCCATCTAGCTCCCAACCCCTCCTAGGTGACACCCAGTTCTACCTTCACTCCAATGTTACCGCCACAGTTGTATAACAATCGAACTCAGGTAACTGTAGTAGAAGTCAAGGACCTAAAACAAACTGTGGCTATTGAAATTGGGTACAGGGATACAAATGCTTGGATGGAATGAATAAATTGCTGTCTGCACAATTAAATAAGAGTGAGTGCTACGTTTGTACTACTGGGAGACCATAGTCTCAGGAGGTCTTGTTTTCATTAGGATGGTCCTTAGATCCAGATGGAATGTATTGCATGTTGGCTCTATTTCAGGATGCCAAGGATCGGGGCAATGAATCCTGCCGGACGCTATCACTACTGGTCCCAGAGGTCAGAGGTCCTTCAGGTCAGCCCCCAAGGACTATTAGACCACCCACCCTAGACGTTAATTATACCCTATGTCTCATGAGATGGGGGGATGATTGACAAATGTGGGAAACCTGATGGGATGCAGTGAAAGCTGGTCCTTCAACAGCTTCACAAACCAGTCCACACTCTTGGTGGGCAGAACCAATGTCTGGCAGTACTGCAGGGGACTTTTATTTGAGACTCTCCCAGGTAACTGAGCAGGCACCTGTGCTTTAGAGAAGTTGGCAATTCCTTTCACCCTAGCATTTAGATCCTCAGCCCATGCCACAACAACTAGGAAAAGGAGAGACATAGACACAGACACTGCAGCCAACCTCAGAGGCTCCCTTAATCCCCGTGCTTACATTGATGCCATTGGGGTTCCTAGAGGGTGCCAAACAAATTTAAAGCCAGAAATCAAATTGCAACAGGATTGGAATCAGTACTTTTCTGGTGGTCCACTATAAATAAAAATGTCAATTGGATTAATTATATTTATTATAACCAACAAAGGTTTGTTAACAATACCAGGAATGCTATCAAAGGAATAACAGAGCAATTGGGACCAACTAGCCAGATGGCTTGGGACAACAAGCTAGATTTAGACGTGATGTTGCCCAAAAAGGGAGGAGTTTGAATAATGATTGGAGTTTTGTGTTGCATGTACATATCAAATAATACAGCCCTCACTGGAACTATTACTGAGGCCCTACAGGGATTAACTTCCCTATCTAACGAGCTAGCTGAAAACTCAGGTATAAATGATCCCTTCACTGACTTAATGGAAATTGGGTTGGGAGATGAAACAGCTGGATGACCTTAATCTTAACCTCCTTGATCATAGTGGCTGGAGTTTTAATTTTAGTAGGATGCTGCATAATTCCTTGTGTCCAAGGACTAATACAGTGGTTAATTGAGACAGCCCTCACAATCACCCCCACCCTGCCAAAATAACTTGTTTCTATTAAAAATGCAGGAACATGACAGCCAACAACTCCTAAATGAGTTTGAAGAAAAGAATTTAATTAAAAGAGGGGGAAATTGTAAGAAAAATTATCTTTTCTATCAAAGTATTTGTTACCCTCCTAGATTACTTAAAAATTCCTCAAGTCACCATCTTAGGTAACTTGCATGTTTAAAGGGTCCTTGCTTCTTCTTCCAGATTCCTGTGCAGTACCATTGCCCACCAAACTGCATGCCCTTACATATCCCCCAAGACTTTTAGCCAAGCAGGAAAGACTGTGAACCTTTGACCTGGACAAGTCCCAGGTGAGAGGCAGGTACAACTGCATCAGGGATATAAGGAGGAGCCACTATAAGCCATTTTGTGCCTGCATGCTTGCTTAGCAGGAGTGAGCACATGCATGCACCCAGAGAAAATTGCCTCTGTCCTAGTGGCACACGGGAGCACAAGGCTCTGCCCCGTGATGTACAGTCCCTTTCCACAATGTTGGAGAAAAAGCCGGGCCTTGTGTCTGCGCCTGAATATTCCTACAACTTCTCAGAGTCCTATGGACAATGACTGGGGAGATAAACCATGCAGGAAACACTAGTATGTGTTCTGAGAAATTGTTGAGAAAAAAGAAGAGAAAATTGCCTTGTCAAGATTTTCTGTCTCTTGTGTGTCTGTTTTCGGCACCGAAGGGTTATCAATTCCAACAGAACCACAATCCTCCTGATCTCTGCCTCCTAAGTAGCTAGGATTGCAGGCATGAGCCACTGGAACCCAGAGATTTCCTTCTTTTTAAAGTTTGAACAGTATTCCATTGTGAATGTACCATATTTGCTTTATCTATTCATCTGTTGGTGGACACTTTGGTTATTTCCATATCTTGGCTATTGTGACTAACTTTTCAATGAACATGGGAGCACCTGAAGATTTTACATGAACATGAATTCAAGGGATCTTTATAGACCAGGTACTTCATGGAACAAATGTAAGCCTCCCCTAACCAAAGAAAAAGGGGACTTGTTTCAACCAACTGTGTGCAAACCAGTATTATGATTTGGATCTTAAATGTCCCTCCAAGGCCTGCATGTTAAAGGCATGGCTGCCAGACTGTGGCTGTTGGGAAGCATGAAGCTTTAGGAAGTAGGACCTAGTGTAGGGAAGTTAGGTCACTGGGTGTGTGACCTTGTAGGGGATACTGGAACACTGGCCCCTTCCTCTCTCCCTCTTTTTCACTTCCCAGCTGCCATAAAGTGAAACGCTTTGCTCCACCACATGCTCCCTGCCATGATTTTCAGCCACAGGCCCAAAGCAATGAGGCCGACCTCTCTACCCCCAATTCCCAACCCTAACACTCCCTAGGTAAGCAGAGGTGATGGAGGAAGAGGAAGCCATTTAATCAAACTCATCTAAGAGCGACTGAGACCCTGATTCTTTTTGACATTGTGCTATAGTAAGTCCTCTTGAAAAGACAGAGAAGGTCTCAATAGAGGTTCAATAGCAACACCCAGGATCCCAAAAGAGACCAGGCTCAACTCCAAGCCTAAAAGTTCAGGAGACCAAGCCTGGACATACTCCTGGGACAATCCCCTAGCACCACAGTCTTTCTTGGGGACCTTGCCCAAATCTATGTGAATGGATGTTGGAAACCCAAGTCTGTGTCACCGTTGTGACCTATGCAAACACAGAAAATGACTTGACCAATGAGACTGCACAGGACAAAGTTTCTCCAGCTCTACACTACAGGATGACAGAAGCAAATGATAGCACCTGGAGAGGGAAGTTCTGGGCTTCCTGCAAATAGGAACAGGTAGATCCCAAATTACTAACTGTAAAAATAGATGATACAATGTCCACCTTGAAGTCATATCCTATGATTACATGGTTTATAGTGCCATGCTTATGTATAAGCACCTCAAGAAATAAATATGAATTTATATAACCTCATGCCATACATGGGCTCCAAATAGCAAACACAGTTTGCTACAGTTTGAGCCATACTGGAACAGGAGGAAAAAAAGGATGCAACTGTTCTTGTGTTCAAAAACAATTTAGCAAGCCTTTTTAGCTATAAAATGCATGTGCTTAAAAAGGAAAGAAATTTAAAAGAAAAGAAATGGGGGGAGGGAGGTCTTGAGAGGTAAGAGCTCTAGTGGAAAGTGGAGCCTACAGAGAGATATGCAGAAGAAGCAGTGTGTGGTGAGGAACCAACCTGGGGGAAGCTGACATTCAATTGTAAATAATGATAACAGCTAATTCATAGAGGGCTACATGCCAGGCATTGTTCTAAGTGTTTAAACATATTATAATTCATTTAGCTTATGCTTGAATTATTTTCTCAATTATTCATTCCCTTTCTCTGCATGTGACCTCATAGAACAGTAGAGTTAGCAGAAGGGATGGCGGAGTGGCTCAAGTGGTAAAAGTGCCTGGCTTGCAGGCAAGAAGTCCTGAGTTCAAACCCCAGTGCCAATAAAAAAATAAAACTAAATAAATAAATGTAGAGTTAGCAGAAAAAAAAGTCACAAAACACCAGAGAGCCAAGCTGAACTATGGACTGACTTAGGAAACAGGTGTAAAAGAAATTTTTCTAGGATGCAAAAGTGATCCATGAAAATGTGTGTGGAAAGGCCAGATCCTGCTAGTAAGAACAATGGGGATTTTACAAAATAGGGTGACCCTAGAAAACTAGAAGAACAGGGGGCTGTCAAATGGCAACCAAGCACAGAGCATTGTAGGCAGGAGTAGGCTTAGGAGATAGGGAATGGTATCCAAAAAGGACCAGGCACTGCTGGAAGGTGTGGAGACTGGCAGGTGGGTCTAGAAGTCCTTCTGACTACCAACAACCAACAGAAGTCAATTCTGAGATTGCAGATGTACCTGGCCTAGCCCAACCCACCAAACACATCCACTATGAGGCAAATGCTTACAATGACTTGGATCACAAAGATCTAGCTATATAGGGATCTATGCAATCTCTGATAGATTCCTAGATGGGTGACAGCCTGAGTCCTGAGCCATTCTCCCACTGTTTACAAAGTCCCTAACCAGCACTGATCTAACTGGCTTTCCTATTCCAGAACCCATGAATGATCAGGAGACGGCCTGGGAATAAAAATTAACCTGAAACCTACTGAAGGAGAAGGGGCTGTCCTCACCTAGAAAAGACAAAGTTCCTGGGAAATGCACATATTTGTTGGGTCCCTAAGTAATTCTATACTGTACTCTAGCACCCAGACTGGTATTCCTGGGTACCAAACATTTTCTGCACCTACTATGGAGGTTGGGCAAAATGGCATTTTCGGTGCCCTGCCACGGGCCCCCTCTCAAGATATCTGGCCATAATATTTAGTGTGCTTGGGATTGTAATGCCTGGATGTTTAGATGGGGTGGAAGAGTGGAGCTGGGAACTCAGGCAGGAGGTCAGTGAGTGGGGCAGCAAGTCTTAAGCTGTGCTTTTCCTTGCTGTAGGTAGCAGAGCTCAAAGGCAGTAGAGATTAGTGGCTGGAGGATTTACTGGGCCACACTCAGTCTTGTAGCAGGGCATCTGCCAAAGCCCAGCACAGACTCAGAAGCTTTCTCCCAGATCCAGTCCAGAAATGCAAAGACTTTTCCCTCCATTTCAAAAACGGGCTCACCCTCTTTTCCTCATAATTTTCCCCAAAAACCTGGAGACTGTGGGAAGTGCCCTATCCTAGTTTTCTCCAACCCCAAGGCAGCTGCCCTGGAGGTCCAGAGTCCCCGCCACAGTCATGCTCTAGGCCTCATCCTGACCAGGGCCCCCTTATTTTCCGGTGCTTAACACTTAGCCAACTGAAGGCACAGCCCTTCCCCACAGCCTGCTCTACAGCAAGGCTCACCAGTTCGGGCTAGTTTGGGGCGGGAACTTGGGAGTGCCTAGAAGTTATGAGGGCGGGGACACAAACCCATCTTTTAAAGACCTGGAACTGGCCCTAAGGCAACCTCGGATCAGGGCGGTCCAGGGAATAGAACCGGACCCAATTTCCCTGTCTGAGCGGCCGGAGGGCATCATGGGACGCTACCGCATCAGCGTGGCGACGGGGGCCTGGCTCTTCTCTGGGTCGCACAACCGCGTGCGGCTGTGGCTGGTTGGGGCGCACGGGGAGGCGGAGCTGGAGCTGCAGCTGCGGCTAGCGCGGGGCGAGGTTTGTGGGCAAGAGTTGGAGGTGGGCAAGAGGCAGCAGGCTGAGAGCCCTTGACAGCGCAACCAGACCACGCGAGCTGGGAGTTCTCTGGCATTGAGACACTCGGAGTGAGATCAGGGATAAGGCTGGGAGCCATAGGCTTGGGCTGGGCATCTCCCTGCCCCCAACCCTGATCCTGGCAGCCTCCAACTGTTCCAAATGGCTCCAGAGCCAGGATAAATATACAACCAGTGGTCAGACCATGAAGCTCCTCCCAGCACAGGTGCGATGGGAGCTCAGTGAATGGGATCCTGTGGCCGATGATGACGCTCCAAGTCACAGCAGGCTACGCCGTGTTCCCTCTTCTTCCACAGGAATGGGGGTATCGATACCCACACGGGGCAGGTTGTGAGGGAGAGGGAGCCAGGTGATGCAGCCACAGTAAACTGAGGCTCCACACACAAAGGGACAACGCTGCCCTCAAAACGGCCTCTCCAAGTCCCTGCTGCTCAGTCTGGCGGGTCTGGCCCCCATAGGTGGAGGAGTTTGACCTTGACGTTCCCCAGGACTTGGGACCTCTACAGTTCGTGAAGTTGCGCAAACAGCACTCACTGGTGGACGACGCGTGGTTCTGCGACTGCATCACGGTGCGGGGCCCCGGAGCCTGCGCCCAGGCGGCCTTCCCCTGCTACCGCTGGGTGCAAGGCCAGGGCGTCCTGAGCCTGCCCGAGGGCACCGGTGAGCTGAGCGGGCAGCGGGGAAGTGCGGGGTGGAAAGGCGCTGAGGAAGGGATGGGGGAGGGGGCTACAGAAAGGATGGGCACGTGATGGTGAAGGGCAGGGATCCAGGATGCAAGACAGGAAACAGGAAGTTAAGAATTCCCAAGATGTTGCCCAGAAAAAGTGATTCTGCAAGTGAGGCTGCGGAGGTGGGGAAGAGTGATCTGGAGACCCTGTCTTCGTAGAAGCTGAGAGCAGAGAGTGGGCGATGCAGCGATGAAGGAAACAGAGAAGCAAAGTAGAAAGGAGCTGTGTGTGACTCAGAACAAGTTAGGGCAGGGATGGGGGGGAGGGGGGGCAGCCATAGAATAGGAGATGGCAGACAACCTATGAGCAAGAGACAGCTCCAGAAACAAATGACATGATGTTGACTAGCTGGTTTGTTTGAAATAACATAGAAGACAACTGTGAAAGACAAGGAGCACTTGGCAGGAGATGGAAATGAATAGGGTGGCAAATATTGAAAGTTTTATTTACCATGGGGAAAAAATTCATGAGAGGTGAACACAAAGACAAATGAGGGCTGGGGTGGATGGAAACATGAAATATGTAACTTTGAGATAGAAAAGTTTAAGTATACATAAGAACAGGGCCAAGTCAATAAATACAGACTAATGGTAAGTCCAAGAAAATAAAGTCAAGTAATGAAAGCAAACATAGAATCTTTGGAGAGCAGGTAAAGGTGTGGCAAGTGAGATTAAGACATGTGAAATTAGCCAAAGCAGTATGTAGCAGCAGACAGGTGTGGGCCCATGGATGACTAAGATCTTACCACCATAATTAAGGTCATTTTTCCAACCCTGGATATTGATGAAATGGGGTCAAGTTGGGGAAGATGAGTTAAGGAACCAGAAAAGATGACCAAGCTGGTGGCTTGGCTCAAGTGGTAGAGCACCTGCCTAGCATGAAGCCCTGAGTTCAAACCCCAGTATCACCAAAAAAGAAAAGAAAAAGAAAAAAAAGGCCAGGGGGTGTGGGGCGGGGGGAGGTAAAGGTGGCAAACATGAAATGTGGGTCTCCAGGCAAGAAATATGGGGTGAAATAAGTGAAATTGGGAGTGCAGAATGCAACAAAGGAATAAATCTGTCAGGATCATCAAGTAAGGCAAAGCCAGAGCAACCAAGCAAGACTGAAAACATGGAATCTAGTGAGACTTGTAGTGACAAAAAGGGGGCCGGGAGAAGCAAAAGAGAGCACAAGGCCAAAGGGGTATAGCTAATCTTAATGTCTCCCCAGCCCGTCTAGCAGGAGACAATGCCTTGGATGTCTTCCAGAAACATCGAGAGAAGGAACTGAAAGAAAGACAACAGATGTACTGGTGACTACCTACCCACAGGCCTCTGACTTGTCCCACCCTTCCCCTGCTCCTACCCCTAACACTGACCTCAACAACCTGCATTAAGCTTTGTCCCTAACTTTTAGCTGGGCCACCTGGAAGCAAGGTTTACCCCAAACAATAGCTGCAGACTGTAAGGAGGATCTACCTCCAAATATGAGATTTCATGAGGAGAAGAGACTGGACTTTGAATGGACACTGAAGGCAGGGTGAGAAAAAGGCTGGAGTGTGGAATCAGGGCTGGGAGATCTAAGAATGATGGTAAATGGCGAGGGCCTGCGGGGTTGAATGATGGGTTCATGCCTCAATACCTGTCCTAGGGCTCTGGAGATGGTCCTCAAACGTGTTTGCACCCTCCTGAGCTCCTGGAACTGCCTAGAAGACTTTGATCAGATCTTCTGGGGCCAGAAGACTGCCCTGGCTGGTCAGTGGCTCCCCCAGGTCTCCATAACCCCTTGATGGTCCCTTTTGATGACCCACTATTACACTTCAGGGTTCCCATAACTCCTTGCCAAATTAAGACATATTATTCCTGGTGATCTCAGAGAGGACTCAAGAATAAAAAGAAAGGGCCTGGGTACAGAATACCCTGAATCCCTGAGATAGAGCTGGAGAAGAGATATCCATGCTTTGCTAGATATTCTCCTCCCTCCCATGCCCCACCTTCCACCCTATCCCCACAGAGAAGGTTCACCAGTGCTGGCAGGATGATGAGCTTTTTGGCTACCAGTTACTCAATGGTGCCAACCCCATGCTGTTGAGACGCTCCACCGCTCTGCCCTCCAGGCTGGTGCTGCCCTCAGGGACAGAGGAGCTGCAGACCCAATTGGAGAAGGAACTCCAGGTACTCCCCCACACCCTTCCCATTACCTGGCATTGTTCTTTCCTTTTGTAGTATTATGAGAACAGGTAAGATGAGAAACCAAGTATAAGTCAGAAGAAAGAGGGCTTCTCCCTGGTGCAGACTCTAGCTGCACCAGGGCAACACAAATGGGAAAAGTATTTCAGGTAAAATCTATAAGGAACTCCCAGTATGAATGGGGAAATAGAATGGATCTGCAGAGCACTGATGGGGTCTACAGATACTCAGAGGAACAATGACATTCCTCGCTACCATCAGTATTATGGACTCCAGTGTTCATGGCAAGGGTAAAGGCAAAGCCTGTGCCATCAGGTGGGGGGATTCAGGGAGATTTTCTAGAAATTTTTAGACACTAGGTTTGAGAGAGATGAACTGTCCACTAGGAAGATGAACCTAACCAGGATGTATGTACGGACACAAGCATGTGTACACCATATTCAGTAGAAAAGGTATTTACAGGAAGCTCTGTGGAATATTCTGCAGAATGGAAGAGGGATTGCTAAGCTGATGGAAGCCAAAAGCAGAGACCAAACCACTAAGGGATGACAGGGCAGGGGCCTGACCACCTGGACATGGAGTCAGTTAATAATGCCTGTCATGCAAACTGAATTGAGCAGGTCTGGTTCTGAACCCCACATCTTCTATCTATATCCCTGCACAAGACATCTACCCTCACTAGGCTGTTCCTTCACTTTACAATGAGAAGAATTGAACCAGGTACTCTCGTTCTGCCAGCTGGACTCTAAAACTGAGCTGGACTGAATGTCCTCGACTGTTTTGCCCTTTGCCCTGGTCTACTTCTAGGAGTAGATTTTGAACTCTAAAAACGGTACATGCCTTCTTTCCCCAGAATGGTTCCCTGTTTGAGGCTGACTTTATCCTGCTAGATGGAATTTCAGCCAATGTGATCCAAGGAGAAAAGCAGTACCTGGCTGCCCCCCTTGTCATGCTGAAGATGGACCCCAATGGGAAGCTGCTACCCATGGTCATCCAGGTGAGGCGCCCTGGGTATCTTACTCTAAACATTCTATTCTGTTCATTTAAACCTCAGCCTCTTGGCTCTTGACTCTCAAACCCCATCTTCATTGAAAACTATCCTAATTTCACTGCTTGCTTGCAGCTGGTCTCCACTGACTCATCCAAATGCAAGTGCTTGTTAAAGAGAAATAACATAGCCAGGTGTAGTGGTACACTCCTATAGTTCCAGAACTCAGGAGTCTGAGGCAGGAGAATCATGAGTTATGTAACCAAGTACGTAGTGAGACCTTGTCTCAAAAAGAAAAAAAGAAAGAAAAGTCATAATGGCTTCTTGGGAGTTCTCATCCTGCAACCAGTAGTTCTCAAACATAAATGTGCTTCCAAATCACCTCCAGTGCACAGGTTACTGGGCTGAGGGTGTAGCTCAGTGGTAGAGCACTTGCCTACCATGCACAAGGCCCTGGGTTCAGTCTCCAATACTACCCAAAACAAAACAAAAAGAAAAAAAAGAATACCCACAGGGTGCTGTGTTCAACTGCCAGACTTTCTGATTCTGTGTATCTGGAGTGGAAACTGAGAATGTGTATTTCTTAGAAGTTCCAAAATAGTGCTAATGCTACTTGTTCAGGACCACACTTTGAGAATCTCTGTGTCCTCTGCCTCTGAACATCCATTGTCTCTTGAATATTTTCAGTCTCACTATTCCTACAAAGTATTGATGAGTACTGCCAATAATCTAGCTTCTGCTTCCTGTTCTACAACTGGGCTGTGAGCCTTGTCACATTTCTCCCACACTGCTAGAATCTTCTTACTGCACTCTCTGCTTTCAGTCTCTCCTGCATCCAGCCTGACATCACTACAACTAGTGAGAGGCAGAGTGATGGGGTTCTCATTTTTCCTACTAGAGTGTAATCCCCTCTATAATAGTCTTGCTTTGTCATCTCTTATTTCTCCAGGAATGCTGACAAATACATGCTCAATTTCTGTTTCTCCCAGATTCAACCTCCCAATCCCAGCTACCCAACCCCAACACTGTTCCTGCCCTCAGATCCTCCACTTGCCTGGCTCCTGGCCAAGATCTGGGTCCGAAGTTCAGATTTTCAACTGCAGGAGCTCCAGTATCATTTGCTGAACACTCATCTAGTGGCTGAGGTCATCGCTGTCGCCACCATGAGGTGCCTCCCAGGACTGCACCCTATTTTCAAGGTACAGGCTCTACTCTCAGTCCCATCTCCCTCAGACCCAAATGAACCTAATCTCAGAGGATATTACAAGCAAAACATCTATATAGCAACTTGTGATTGAAAAGGGGAAGAACAGAAGAAGACTGTATAAATATCCTGAGCCTTTTATTTTAATCGAGTTGAGTATTTAACATTTCTTGAGGACATCTGACAGTTTAGCAACAGACTTAAAGTATAGCTGGAATGTTGTTAGTAAAACAAAAGTCTTATTCCTACCTTAGGAGATTTAGTATTTAGCAAGAAAGACAAGTGGATACCGTGAGAACCAACAAACAAACAACATATGAAACTAGTTTGACTAGTTTAGAGTCAGCCTCTAAACAGTATAGTACTGATAGAGAATGTTTCACCCCAACCAAGGAGTCAGCTAAGTAGGAACAGATAAGAAGGCAAAGAGAGCAGCTCAGCAGGCTCCTTAGGCCTGTGAAACAGTGAGGGGGATAAAGATGTGCATTAGTGTGGCAGTGACAGGAATAAAAGGAAAAAATCCAATTATGTGGTGAAGAGAAGAAACAGAAGCTATAGCATGGCTGGGTGCAAGATGGGAGAGAGAAAAGTTGGAGTTCCAAGCAAGCTTCTGTGACACCTAGAAGGGTGAGTGTGTTGTAATTTTACGAACAGTGAGTTCAGTATTTCTTGCTAGGCAGAAAGCAGCAAAATAAGACTGTGCTTTCTTTAAAAATGTTTTCAAAATCTTGATGACACTTTACATATGGCAAATAACAGCAGAAAAGGGCACAAAAATGATACAAGCTTATGAACCAGAGCAATTTTCAGAAATAGTACAGTTAGAAGCAGCTAGTTTGGAGGCAAAAATAAGGTGTTTGGTTTTAGCTACATGGAGTTTGAAGTGTTGGCAAGGTATGCAAGTGCGTAATTCATAAGGAGAACAACTGAACTGTTGGAGCTGGAGGCCTCCATCCCAATCCCCAAGTTTGAGCAACGTAGCTGTGACTTCCTCAGAGTTACCTCTTTGGTAACACAGTCTTATTAATTAGATCTTGGATTTTATTTATCTCACCACCTGCTGAATCTGAATAGGTGAAGCCTCTATTCACACTGATGATTCCCCTTTCAAACTCAGCCATGCCCTGTCTCCACTCGCCATACCAACTTCATCCCATGGCAAACAGCTGAGTTGTTATGGAGAGCTAAGCATACAAACGTCCTAAGGGTAACCTGTGCAAGCTCTGGATTTTGACTGCCAGGGTATGAATAATGAACCTGGGCCTTGAGACTGACTAAACATCTACATCTTTAAATGAGGCTGTCAGGATGTCTACCATCAGGTATTAAAGGATAAAATGACCTAACAAGAGCGTGACACACACTAAATGTTACAAAAATTAGTTCTTGCAATTGTTATTATTGTTAGGAGTTGTCTATCTTCAGGCATCTTCTCAAGTGCACTTTGGGTTTTCTATGACATTCAGCATCTTTCAGGAACTTTCTGAAAAGTTTCAGATCAATGTGAGCTGCTTTGATATCTTAACACCAAAGGGATCACTTGTTTCTTTTCTGCTTCTGGCTTCAACAATTCAGATAAATACCAAAACAGGACAAAACCTGCATATTCACTGGGTGGAAAGGAAGACTAAAAAGAAACATGTGAGAATAAGGTAGCCTTTTTTTAATAGCCAAGGAAAAGCAAGAGAGGAGACATAACAGTGTCTAACTACAGAGTGAAGGCAGAATTGATGACAGCCCCTATGCTGCTTTAGCAGGTAGCTTGACATAGCTCCTCTAATTCTGACTAAAAGTACCCTCTCAAGTCACCTCCCAAAGAAACCCAACAATAAAACAATATGGGCACAGCTTTGATAGGGATAGAATGGCTAACTTAAGCTATCAGGATATGAATGACCAAAGAAATAGAAAAGAAAATCAAAATAGGCTGACTTTTGAGAGACACCAATACCCAAGGTAGAAATAATAAACAGAAAGATTACAGCTACTACTGGAGACCTTTTGTGTATACTTAACACATCACTGATAATCACGGACATCACTACAGTTCCCTGAGGTAAGAAATTCTAGTACTGCCCCCTGTTGACTGATGAGGAGATTGCAGGTTAGAGGGTTATTAACTTGGCCAAGTATTCAAGAGGGTTGAAATCCCTGTAGGCTGGCTCCAGAGCCTGACTTGCAAGGAAGTTGGAGATCATGAGAGTGAGTGATAATAGAGGCAGATCAACCTGTCATAGTAGCAACAGGAACAAAAGCTTCAAGAGTCAGGCACGGTGGTTCACACTTATGATCCTAGCTATTTGGGAGGCTGAGATTGGGCGGATGGCACTTCAAGCAAAAAGTACTCAAGACCCTATCTCCAAAATAACCAGAGCAAAATGGACTGGAGGTGTGGCTCAGGTGGCAGAGCACCTGCTTTGCAAGCATAAAGCCCTAAATTCAAACTACAAGTCCCACCAAAAGAAAAAAAAAAAAAAAGCATCAAGAGCAGGCCACCATGCTGGGTACCAGACCCTACAAGGAAGGACCCAAGCATGGTCTCCATAAGCCACCCCCTCCAATCTCCACCCCAGCTCCTGGTCCCCCATATCCGCTACACTATGGAAATCAACACCCGGAGCCGAACTCAACTCATCTCAGATGGAGGAATCTTTGATCAGGTAAGGAGGGAAATGGGATATGAAGTTACAATTGCCTTGTCATCTAGCTCTCCATAATTTTATGGCACCTTCAGGATCTCAGACCAACCTCTGTGAATGTCCTGATTCTTAACCTATGAGCACTGTCCCTTATCTATGCATGACTTTAATCTGAAAACCCCATCTCTGAACCTCTTATTCCCTCCTTCAATCCCTCAACACCTGTCAACTATCTTATTCCAGGCAGTGAGCACAGGTGGAGGGGGCCACATACAGCTGCTCCGTCGGGCAGTGGCTCAGATGACATACTGCTCCCTCTGTCCTCTGGATGATCTGGCTGACCGGGGTCTTCTGGGAATCCCAAGTGCTCTGTATGCCCAGGATGCTTTGCGGCTCTGGAAGATCATTGCCCGGTAGGTGAGAGAGAACTGACAAATGGAGGGGAATAGACAGAGAAGGTAGGACTCTGGCTTGAGATCAGAATGTGGCAAAAGCAAAGTGCCCCATACAGGGAAGAGATGAGGAGGAGTGAGAGACTGGCTGAGAACTAAAAATGAAAAAACTAGGATGGGGCAAGATACACAGATGAGGAGACCTGTGGGTGGGGAGACCGAAGGACGTGAAAGGATCAGAGTTTTGTTCGGAATAGCTAGCAAGCTAAGTGAATTCTGGAACTGCTGACTTACGTCTCTTCCCTTTACACTAGTAAGCCAAAAACCTGGGGAGGGCAGGTGTGTAGCTCAGTGGTGGAGTGCTTGCCCAGCATGTGCAAGGCTTTGTGTTTGATCTTCAATACTGAAAAAAAAATTACAGAGGAAGTCCCAAAAGGCAAGTCATGTTAGGATCTGATCCAGGTAGAAATCAACTGGGAAGAGGCCACAGAAGAGGAGCAGAGGTTGAAGGCTGAAGCCCTCTACTCTGAGAGTTCAACTCCCTTCTCTGGGCAGGTATGTGGAGGGGATCGTACATCTCTTCTACCAGAGGGATGACGTCGTGAGAGGGGACCCTGAGCTGCAGACCTGGTGTCGGGAGATCACTGAGGTGGGGCTGTGCCAGGCTCAGGACCGAGGTAAGATCATCCCAGAGACAGAAGCTCCTAGGAGACTCTGCTGGAGCCCCTTCCTAGCTCTGCCCCTCTGGGAACTGAACCCAACCCCTCATCACACTCCTCCCTCCCTCCATGCATGAAAGCATCCAAATCCTACTTACACTTTCTAACACTCAGAACCATTCCAGATACTCCTCAGAGACCCTGATCTTCCACTCCAACTCCTGACCCCACTCCTGTAATGCCCATAACCTGCCATGGCATGGGAACCAACCAGGCCAGAACCATGAGGGCTTCTGCCCAGTCCCTCTGTGGCTCCTGTTCTGTCTTCATGGTTTTCTTTTTCCTACCTGGAGATATGAATAGGAACAACATCCTACCAAAGCCCGTGATGAGCCACCACAGCTTTCCCTCCCTTCCTCCTCCTGCCTGCTGCTATCCACCATGCACACAGGGTCCAGGCATGCTGCACTCTTGCCAGAAATGACCCTGTGCATTTCTAGATGTGACCTCAGTACTGAACATGCTTTGACTCAAACCTGAACTCAGTATCCTGACCTTCAGGGCTCAGGGTTCTTTGGCCAGTCTGGTCCTCTCTTCCTACCTCCTGCACCTTGCCTTCCAGGATCTAGCCACTACCTTCAGTTAACCTCCAACCCCTACATTTTAATCTCCAGGAAAGAAATAGCCTTTCCTAAGCTTCCCCTAGGTTCATCCTCCCCTCTCTAATACAGAATCCAGCCTAGACTGCTTTGAACCATCCTTCAGCCCCCGCGCCTCATACTTTAGATCAACACCTTGAATCCCATCCCCTGCTTCTGTGGGACAACTACACACTTTTACTAGGGATCCATCCTGACCAGGCCTGATGCAGCAAACACCTGTGCCCTGGAGGGAGCCTTCTCCTGGAGGGAAGAGTGGGGTGTTGCACTACCCCACTCTTCCAGGACCAAACTCTCTCTAGTACTTATCAGTTCTGACCCTTAGGCTCCTCTCCCTGGCTACCTTCTCCCCAGATTGGAAATTTAGAAAAAATACTCATAGTGTATTAGTCAGTTTGAGCTGCTATAACAAAGTACCACAGATGTGTGGCTCATAATCAACAGCAATTTATTTCTCACAGTTCTGGAGGCTGAGAAGTCCAAGATCACGTGCCATCAGGTCAGGTTCTGGTGAGGGCCCTCTTCCAGACTGCAAACAGCTGACGTCTCCTTATAGCCTCACATGGCAGAAAGAGAACTCCCTGGCCTCTTCTCTAAGGGGGCTACTGTCCTTAAGAGTTCCACTCTCATGACCTCATTACCTCCCAAAGGCTACACGTCCAAACACCAATACACTGGATATTAGATTTCAACGTGTGAATTTGGAGCAGATGTAGGGGGAGACATGCAAGCATTGAGTCCATAACATACACATTAGCTTCAACCTCCTCTCATTTTTTTCCTTTCCTCTTTTTCTCCCTCAGTTCTCATAGCACACTTTTGCCTAGTTTTTGATAGACTGTTTAGAGAAACTTTTTAGAGAAAATCAAAAGGGGCAAGGGATTAGGAGTCAGGAACTGTCTCAAGATCAGCCTCTGCTTTTTTCCAACTGGGTGATCCTGACAAACAGTTTAATCTCTCTGGTCTTTGATTTCCTTATCGATAAAATGAGAGTAAAATTATATGTGTTCCACTTAACTGATAGGATTATTAGCCTCCAAGCCCCACTGTAAAGTGGGAAGGACTTGAGATAATCCTTTCAGGAAGCCCCTCTTACCTGTGACACTGGAAATCCAGGACTTGTCTTATAACTCATTTAATTATAATTTCCTGTCTGGGAATAGTGGAAGCATCCCTAAATTCTTAACTACTTTTTTGATGCTGGGAATATTTGACCACTCAGACCTTTCCAGCCCCTATGCCTTCCATACCAGCAACAAAAACTATTATTTGTTAAACTTCTTATTACACAGCAGGTAATACTAATACATTAACTCCTTTATAAGGAAGGAATCATCCACATTTTACAGATGAAAAACTGCAGTGAGATAAAGTAATTGGCTCAAAGTAACCAAGCTGTACATTATCAGACCAGGATTGAAACCCACAGTGATGTAAAGATATCTAAATAAATAAACAATCACCCATAAATTCTAAAGCACAGACCTATCAAGGCATATGCCCTTATTTCTTTCCTCTTATGCTGTAGCCTCTAAATCCTGTTCCTTTCCTGGCCAGGTTTTCCTATCTGTTTCCAGTCCCAGGCTCAACTCTGCCATTTCCTTACCATGTGTATCTTCACATGCACTGCCCAGCATGCAGCCATCAACCAGGGCCAGGTACGGACAGCTGAAAGCCCAGGTCCCAGAAGGCAAGTGTCTGGACCTTGGGAGACCCAAGGGAGAGATGGGGATTCAAACCCTAAGTGCCAAGATCCTAGGGTAGCACATTTCCCCTCAGCTCGACTGGTATGCCTGGGTCCCTAATGCCCCATGCACAATGAGGATGCCTCCACCCACCACCAAGGAGGATGTGACAATGGCCACAGTGATGGGGTCACTACCTGATATCCAGAAGTCCTGTCTTCAAATGACCATCACATGGCATCTGGGTCGCCGCCAGCCAGACATGGTGAGAGGGGACCCTAGCAAGAGGGAAATGACAATTGGAAAGGAAATAACCAAGAGAGGGGCTGGGCCCTAGGTGTTTCTGTCTTCAGACAAGAAACTGACTGATCCTTTATTCTTTATTTTGTGTCAGGTGCCTCTGGGGCATCACAAAGAAAAATATTTCTCAAGCCCCAAGGCCACAGCTGTGCTAAGCCAATTCCGAACAGATCTGGAAAACTTGGAAAATGAGATTACAGCTCGGAATGAACAACTTGAACTACCCTATGAATACCTGAAGCCCAGCTGCATAGAGAACAGTATCACTATCTGAGCCCTGAGGTGCCCTCACCTGGAAGATTTCACATAATGTTCAGGACTGACATTTCCATCTTGATCTTATACTTTCCTAAGTCTTTGCTACTTAGGCTCTAATTCCTCCCCCCAACTAAACCCTCTATGTCAGTATCCTACTAGCCCAGAGGGCACTAAATTTTATTTTACATAAGAGCCAAATAGCATTTTAAGTTTTGTAGGCTACACTGTCTCTCCCACAATTTCTCAGCTCACCCATGTTAGCATGAAAGCATCCACAGACATTATGTAAATAGGTAGACTATGTCATTAGGTAAATGAGTGTGACTATGTTCCAATAAAACTTAATCAGCCAGGTGCCAGTGGCTCATGCCTGTAATCCTAGCTACTCAGAAGGCAGAGATCAGAAAGACTGTGGTTGAAAAGCAGCCTGGGCAAACAGTTTGAGACCCTATTTTGAAAAAAACAAACAAACCATCACTAAAAAGGACTGGTGGAGTGGGTCAAGGTGTAGGCCCTGAGTTCGAACCCCAGTACCTCCACCCAAAAGAACTTTTATCAATGCTGAGAGATGACCTTCACATATCACACAATATTCTTCTTTTGGCTTATTCAACCATTTTATGGAGTGGTTTGTTTGTTTTTTGGTTTTGGTTTTTTTGGTGGTATTGGGGTTTAAATTCAGGGCCTCGTGATCATGAGGCAGGCACTCTACCACTTGAGCCACACCTCCAGCCCTCAACCATTTTTTTTTTTAATGTGCTTTGCTTGAGACTGGATTTGGCCCTTATCCTACACTAGCCTGAGGCTCTAACCCCACTTCCAAAACATGCAAGGGGAAGAGGGGGTGGGGTTTCCTGGAGAAGTCCATTACCTCAGCTATTATCCTTTCTCAGGAACTAGACTTCATGCTTGATGGCTAACTTGAAAATTCCTGACTCTGCTCCTTGATGTTATCCCTCCACCCCATTCTTCCTATTCAGGTATGTTTCTCTAAAGTCCCTGAATAAGAATGGTGTTCCTAGCCCATACAAAAACCTTTGTACCAAAATTGCTTCCTTTGGGCTGGTGGAGAGGCTTAAGTAGTAGAGTGCCTGCCCAGCAAGCATGAGGCTCTCAGTTCAAACCGCAGTCCCACAAAAAAAAAAAAAAAATGCTTCCTTCCCCAGGCAGGCTCCAAACAAAAGAAATATGAAACTCGTGTTTCAAGACCACTTTCTAGCCTGGTGTGGTGGCATGCACCTGTAATACCAGCATTCTGAGGATGAGGCAGGAGGATCGAAAATTCAAAGCCAGCCTGAGCTACATTGCCAGACCCTGTCTCAAAAAAAATCAAAGCCACTTAACTAGCCTCTTTAATACTCAATGATCATTATGTTTCCCAGGTTCCAAGCTCTTTTTTTTTTTGTGGTACTGGAATTTGAACTCAGAGCCTTTCACTTGCTAGGCAGGTGCTCTACCACTTGAGTTACTCTGCCAGCCTCCCAAGTTCTCTTTCACAGCTCCTCTAAAAAAATAATATGCACAAAATAAATGGGAAAGTATCACAAAGTTATTCTAGCCTATGACAGAGTGTCTTTGCTCTGGGGTCTCAGCATCAAAATGATCTCTCTTAATTATGCAGTGGTCATTGTCCTTTCTAGGATGGGTACAGCTCAGTGGAAACTGTGTTCTTCACATGGAGCCCTAAATTCAAACCCCAACCTCCAAAAGAAAAACTGTTCTCCAAGCATCCCTACTTTTTTTAATAATTATTACAAATGTCTCTCACTAGTAAAGTCCACAAACTTTTGTCTGGAGACGATAATCTGTTCATATTTTTAAATTTTCTATCCTGTCTTACTCAATGGACACTACAGTTTCCTTAATTAACAGGGAAGTAGTGACATTTTTGCGTACTTACTCCTTTCTCTAGTACATTTAGTAGGACTGCTCGCATTCACTGCGTGCTCACTGAGTCTGTTTTCCTTGGTCTTTTCCTAACCCCGTATTTTTCCTGGATTCGACATCCAGAACTACACAGCATTTCAAGTGAGGTTATTTAAGAGAAGCATCTCCATTGCCAAGAACGCTCAGAAATTTTACAGCGTTGCAGCCACAGAGCAAGCATGCCGGGCCCCGAGCGAGGGCTCCAATCTCCTTTTACCGGGTCATAGTATCCTCAAAGGGAGTGGTGAACAGAGAAGCGACAGACGCAAGCGCTCTCCCAGTAAATTCTCACTTACCATTTCCCCACCACAGGAATCTGAAGGAAAAATCACATGATTCCAAGCCTCTCATCCTAACAGATGAGAGACCATCACCCAAGTTACCAAAAGCCGACCACAGTTAAACTTTTTTCAAGGCCTGGTTACTGCTAGTTACTCGTCATGTGATTTTCCAAACGCAGTCACGTGACATGGCAGCTCCTTCCATTCCATGGTGGGGGGGGTTGGGGTCCTTTCCTCACTATTGAATTACTCAGGACTAGCTGCATAGGTCAAGGGCTTCAGGGGGAGCTGTCTCAGTTTCACACACCGCCCTCTCCCGCGAAATCCTCGGAGTGTCCGGAGGCTCCTCCGCCTGCCACCCCCTGGCAGGATGGTTGGGTCCGAAGGCCACGCCTCCAGTACCTCCCTATTGGGCGCTAGTGCCCAAATCCAGTTCCCTGGCTCTCGAGCGTCCAGGGCTGCCTCTTACAGCCTTCACCTTCCCGCTCTGCTCTCCCTCGGGCGGTCCCCGACTCCTTTCTTCATGGCGTCGCTCCTGTGCTGTGGGCCCAAACTGGCCGCCTGCGGCATCGTCCTCAGCGCCTGGGGAGTGATCATGTTGGTGAGGGGTCTGCCGCGCGAGAAATCTGAAAGGGCCCGAGGGATAGCAGGGTCAGGGGGCTGAAAGACCAGGAACCCCAGGCCTTAGGAAGTACCCCCTAAGCAGGAGGGCCAAGGAGCTGGTTGGGGCGGCCGCTGGGAAGCGAAAGAGAACAGAATGAAAAATGGGGAACTGGAGCGAAGGTGCTGGGGCTGGAGCTGGATAGGAGACAGAGCTGATAAATCTGCGGACCCCTCAAGGTAAGAGAAATAGGAGCTGGGTCCTGAGAGGTGCTTGAGTTGAATGGAGACTGCAGGCAGAGCGAGTACTTGTTCCCAAGAGGGGCAGTCTCATGACTACCTGCCAGCACTTCGAGAAACAGTGTGAAGTCCCTGTTCTCCTTCACCTCTTCCGCCTCGTCCCATGGTAATGACGCCTTTCGGAGGATAGTCTAGGTTCCAGGCAAAGATGTTGCTCACGATTCCCGCCCTTGCCTCAGCCACTTGTCTCAATGTTCTCACCCCTGTTCTAGGTGGCCAAGTCTGAATCCAGCTACAACCACCCAGCTCCTAGCTCATTCTGGTTAATCCATCCTAGGCGCAGGTGTTGGGGCAACATTGGAAATGAGAGGAGTTTGGGGAGTCATCAGGTCAGGTGCCTGAGCTGGACAACCTACCTATTTACCTTTTTCAGATAATGCTCGGAATATTCTTCAATGTCCATTCCGCTGTGTTAATTGAGGACGTTCCCTTCACGGAGAAAGATTTTGAGTAAGTGATCAAGTGGGGAAGGCAGGGCTGGGAAGTGGGAGGTGGCAAGGGCCCCTGGTCAAAATTATGAGCTAGAAATTGCTGGAGGCTGGATTATTTGGAGCCCTAAGGTTAGGGAACTGAGAGAAAAGAAATACAGTCTTTAGAAAGTAGATGAAGTAGGGTGGCTGGGGACTTGACTCAAATGGTAGAGTGTGAGGCCCTGAGTTCAAATCTCAGCACCGAAAAAAAAAAAAAGAGGTTGGAGGTGTAGCTGAGTGGTAAAAGGTGTGTTTATATATATGAGGCCCTTGATTCAATCCCCAGCACAAAAAAGGAAAAAAGAAATAGAATGGAATGTAGTTAGACAGTCTTAAACTCAGGCTTCAACCACCATCCTAAACCCTCCAGTTTAGGTGTAGCTTCTTTTTCCTCTCTGTGCCCTAGTCCATCTCTGCAAAATGGGTACTATAATAGAACTCATCCCGTACGTTTGTCAAGAAAACTTTAAGATAAACCAGGCATGGTAGAGCATGCCTGTAATCCCAACACTTGGGAGGCAGAGGCGGGAGAATCACAAATTCGAGGCCAGCCTTGGCTACACAACAAGACCCTGTCTCAAAAATTTTTAAAAAGGCACCAGTGGCTCATGGCTGTAATCCTTGCTACTCAGAAGGCAGAGACCAGGAGGATAGTGGTAGGAAGCCAGACTAAGGCAAATAGTTCGCGAGACCCTATGTCAAAAAAAAAAAAAATTACAAAAAGGGGCTGGTGGAGTGGCTCAAGCAGTAAGGGCCTAGCAAGTTCAAACCCCACTGCCATCAATAAAAAATAAAAGTAAGATAATACAAGTAAAAGTGCTTAGGATAGTGCCTAGCATATAGTAAATGCCCTGTAGATGCTTTATTTATTTGTTTGTGGTACTGGGGAATCAAACCCAGAGCCTCATCCATGCTAGGCAAACACTCAGTCACTGAGCTACATCCCCAGCTTGTGGATGTTCTTAATGTTTGACACTTCCCCTGCCTAATCCATTCCCAGGAACGGACCTCAGAACATATACAACCTCTATGAGCAAGTCAGCTACAACTGCTTCATCGCCGCGGGCCTTTACCTCCTCCTGGGAGGCTTCTCTTTCTGTCAAGTTCGGCTCAATAAGCGCAAGGAATACATGGTGCGCTAGTGTACTGGTTGCCTTTACCCTCTCCAGCCCCCTCCGCTATTTAAAGTCTCCCTGACCCGCATCTGGGCTGCCCCACCCATTCTGGCGTCCTCTGCTGGATTTCCACGGCGAGAGACTGAATCCCTGGTTCTCCAGTCTTTACCGTCCGGCCCAAGTCCAGGGAGCTCGGGCTGCCGCTCCCTGTCTCCCCAGCCCCCCTGGCCATGTCCCGATCCACAATAAAGAGAACCAGCTCTCTTAAGCCTTCTTTTTGTGCTTTAGTGAGGAGGGCGGGCCTGGGCGAGGGCTGAAAGTCGGCCTCTAAAAAGGTAGTCCTGACCCCGCGACGGAAGTGGAGTGAAGCCGGCCGGAAATGAGTCCGCGTCTTTTTCCCGAGGGCCGCGGCGCCCAAAGCTACAGTGGCTGATGGGGCGGGGAGCGGCCGGCTTGGGGCCAATCAGCTGCGGGGAGGGCGGGACTTCCTGCGCGGGGGCCGGAGTGGCTCGGTAGCCAAGCTCGCCGTGGTCTCACCTCGCGTGGTGGTGGCGGCGGCGGAGTGTCTCCGTTAGGAGGTGCGCGGGGCCATGACGTCAGCGTCCACAAAGGTTCGACCTCCCTTGCGGACAGCGCTCCCTGGTGGCCACGGGAGGGTGGGCCCCCTGCCTGGCTCGGGACTGTTCCGCGCCGGGCGGGGGGCGGGCGGGTCCGAGCGTGGGGTGGGGCTAGGGGCTCCCAGCGGGACGGCTCGGCGCGTCGTCTGCCCCCTGTAATGCTGCCCCGCCCTCAGGTCGGAGAGATCTTCTCCGCGGCGGGCGCCGCCTTCACGAAGCTCGGGGAGCTGACCATGCAGCTACATCCCGTGGCCGACTCTTCCCCCGCGGGGTACGTGAGCCCGGGCTGGGACGTGGACGCCGAGAGAGGACGTTTGGACTCAGCCACAGACACGGATCCTCTCTAGGGCAGGGACATATGTTAGTTCCTCTTTGTGCCTGGCACAGCACAGAGTAGGTGTTAATAAATGATTGTGGATGAGTGAATGAATGCCAGGGGAAGATGCAGACAGGTCCACAGCCCGGACTCGTTTCACAGTTGTCCCCTGCTGCAAACCGACAGATCACAGACCATCATCTCTATTCCCAACCCCAAATCGTATGGAGGGTTGTTTATAAGGCCTCTACTTGTTGAATTGTTTTCAGTGGGCTATTGACAAGTAGCTGTTGAACGTTGACGAGGAAAGGTGTTCTAAAGTGGCGGTGGATATCATTTCATGTGGTTGAGGGAACTCAGAGCTTGTTTTTTTTTTAAACCGGGACCCCTTTATGGATCCCAGGAAAACAATCCAGAGATTGGGGGGGAGGCTGCTTGGCTGTGGGCTGGCTCCACAGCCTTCTCCTCCTATTTTTGCTATCCCCCCTCTCCCGACAGTGCCAAGTGGACGGAAACGGAGATAGAGATGCTGAGGGCTGCTGTGAAGCGATTTGGGGACGATCTTAATCACATCAGCTGTGTCATCAAGGAACGGACAGTGTGAGGGAGGGTGGCTGGAAGAGAAAGGGGGGTGGGCAACTTTCTTCCTCATCTATTCATTGTTCAGAAATCCCTTCCAATTAAGTATCTTTCTTACATTGTTGCTAGTTTTGCTAGCATTCCCTTGAAGACTGAAATATGAGAATCATCACAGTTGGTCAGAAGTTCAAAAAGTGCCACGATCATCAGGACCTTCTAAGAATTTGATTTTAGGATGCCTAAGATAATTATTATATTTGGGGAGTTACTTATGTAGATCTTTTAAGACTGTAGTGTTTCCATAGATAGTGTGATTCTGAAGTAGATCGGGATCTACTAAATCTCAATCCACTTGTAAATCACTAAGCCTTACCTCGTGGCCCTACACCTCCATACATCTCACCCAGAAGAGGATTAGGGGATAGCCCTTTCCAGCTACTAAGTTCAGGGACTCCACTCTTCACATCCCATCCACCATAAGTGAGGGCAAAGCCTGAAGAAAATGAGAACCAGTGGGTTGGCGATCTGACCTGGATTCTCATGAAGGGACTCCCAGGATTCCTGTAGAGTGACCCATTACCCCCTGCCATCACCTCTTCCCTCAGCCTCTCTGATGACTCCTTTCCTAACCTGCTGTCTCTTCTCTTCAGAGCTCAGATAAAGGCCACTGTGAAACGAAAGGTATATGAAGACTCTGGCATCCCTCTTCCAGCTGAATCACCCAAGAAAGGACCCAAGAAGGTGGCATCTGGTGTTCTGTCACCTCCTCCAGCCGCCCCTCCACCCAGCAGTTCTAGTGTCCCTGAGGCCGGGGGTCCCCCACTAAAGAAACAGAAAACTGGTGAGGGCTGTGGAGTTGCTGCCTGGCATAGGGGTTAAAGATCCTCTCTGAGGGTCAGTGAGAGGTTTAGGCCTGGGTAAAGAAGAATGGATCCATCCTCCTCTCCCCATGGTAGTTCCCACAGGGGGTGGGCAAGGTGGAGCACAAAGCTTTAAAGCTAGAGGGAGGGCTTGAGTCGGGGGACCTAGAACCTAGCCTATACCCCCTCCCAGATGTGACACTCAGTGCTTTGAATGACTCCGACGCCAACAGTGACTTGGTGGATATTGAAGGGCTAGGAGAAACACCTCCAGCCAAGAAACTCAACTTCGACCAGGGTAGGAGTCCTCTTCCTCCCACACCAGCTGGGGTGGGGGAGGAATTTTGCACCTAGCTGGCAGGGGAGGGTCCCAGCAGGAGCCCCTCCCTTGTGCAGGGGCCTGGGAAAGGAAGGTGCTCCCGGTACAGGGGATTGGATCAATAAGTAGCAGGGTGTTTGGGAAGGTGGGAGTTGTCTTGGAAACGTACTTGGGGCTCTCTCCATCTTGGTCCATTTTACTTCCTGTTCCAGACAGCCTGACCCTAGAGTCTGGCCTTCTCACAATCTCTGTTGATGCTCCTCTACTCTCCTGCTGAGCCTCCTACTTCTGACCGTCTTGATTGTTCACTCTGGACCTGTGGATCGCCTGGGACTTGAGCAAGACCTACATGAGAGGGTCAGAAGGCTGCTGGGGTGGTTCACCTGGCTGTTCCTAATAACCATCTGTCCCCACCCCCTGACCTCCACGGAATGAACATTTTTATACAGAAAACAATAAAGATTTCACTTGAAGTATAGTGCTGTCAGCTGCTGTTCCCTTAGCACTCAGGGGTTAGGCCCCTCCTCCGAAGTTCTCACTACCCTGCCTGGAGCAGCACAGCCTATATTGGCAGACTTGCTCCCAGTGCCAATATTTCTGTGCTGCTAGAGTCAGGGGAGTTGGGTGTGAGCAACAAAGACTTGCTTTCTGGAGCTAGAACTTACTCCCAGATGGCTGGCAGGCAGTGCTCCTGAGTCTGCCCTGGGGGCTTTAAAGGGGTTCTTTCCAGTGTTTTCATGACCTCTTTCCCCACCTTGCAAGAAACTTATCACAAGGCCCCAGATGTTTTTTGTGTCGCTTCTCCAGGGTGGCCTCCCAGGGCCAGGCCTCGCTGTTTCCCCCACTCTCGCTCTAACACCACAGTGTGGTTTGGACGTGGCCACAGTGCCGTACAAACCACAGTGTGCTGCTGGGGCGGGAGCAGGACTAGGGTGGGTTGAGAGGAAGAGAGCACAAGACTGCTGTGAAGACCCCCACTACCAAAAGCAGGGAGATACAGAAAAGTATAAAAAGCAAATATGGTACTCCAAAAGGCTGGGGAAAACCAGAGGCGGGAGTTGAACGGGCAACTGGGAGCCTAGGGACCTAGGGGATAGGCTTAGTGTCACAACATTGGAACCATCTTCCCTCTGTAGGAGCTCAGCTCAAGGGATCCTTAGGGTGGGCACAGAGGCATAGGAAATAGGGAATGACTTTGGGAGACCAAGAAACTGTCTTCTGACTGGGCAAGGGCCAGGACTCAAGGCTTCCTGTATCTGTTCTTCCCCTCCCTGGGTCAGAACCCAAGAGAAATGCTAGAAGAGACACAGGGCCAAGGACGGCAGGATTGGGAGTTGGCAGTCCAGAGAGGTGGTGGGGCCGGAACATGGTTGGGAGAGGGGGGCCGGAAGTCGCCCTGGGCCTGTCACAAGATGGAGACCAAAGGCAGGAAATGGAGGCCAGGGGGAAAGGGGTGCAGCAAGGCCCAGGAAGAGGGCCATCTGGACCTGGGCCCCAGGTATTCAACCCCCAGAGCTGTTTCCACTCCCCATGGTCCCCCCAAGACCCATGCCCCACCCCCACAGCAACACTCAGCCCATTCACCAGGCCCAGGCAGGCAGGCCCACCCCTGAGAGCCACGTTTAAGCAGAGACAAACATGCCTCTCCCCACCCCGCATCCTAGGCCTTCCCTTAGCCTTTTCCTACTGACCAGGACTTGAGTTTTAGAAAAGCACCTCCCAGAAAGCAAAATCCAAGGGCCAAAATTCCTTCTGCAATCAAAATAATACCCTGTAAAACTCAAATGTTATCCGCCCATGTCCCATCTCACCTTTTACTGCCCCCACTTCCGACACACCCCCCAAAACTCTTAGCAATCAAAAAGATCTAAGATGGTGTATGTAAGCAGTCATTTAGGCCCCCTGAGGACACCAGACTGCCTCCCCAAGACTCCTATCTGTCCCACATCAAACTTGCCAAGGCCTCCTATTCAATGCGCCCTCCAGAACCCCCAAAATAATAGCTGCCCACAGCTCCCACTCCAGCACAGCCCATGTGTGGGTAAAAGAGAAATCAAACACTACCCTAACAGCTGGGGGCTGGGGATGTTGAGGGGCTCACTGGTGTCAGGCTTTGGTTTTCACCTGGTGGCTGCAGTTTAGGGGTATGAGAGAAAGCTTCTCTAGTCATCCCCCCAATTCCAAGACTGACAAAGCCCAACCCCACCCCAGCACGCACCTCCAAGCCTCCCCCCCAACCGCCACGTCTCTCCTGAAAACAGGGGACACTTTCCTCCCCACTTACCTCAGCTACTCTCCCCTGAGATCCTGGTCCCCTATTTTGAAAGGAGCAAAATTTGGGGTGCATCCCTCACATTTGGGGTGCAGGAGAAAGGAGCCGCCCCAGTCGCATCGCTGGCCTCCTTCCTCTCGGCTGCCTCAGGGACTGGGGAGTGCCCTGGAGAAGGGGGACCCCCACAAGAGAGCTCTGGAAGGGGCTTCTCCACTCCCAGTCAGAATTGGGGACACCCCCCCAAAACCCGTCCCAGCCCATCCGTCTCCAACTCGGCGGGAGAGGCAGCTACAATGCCCCAGTCAGATTCCCCCAACACTACATTCCTCACCCCATCTAGAGGGGTCCAGGGGCCCCCAAAAAATCCCAAAAAAATCTAGGATGTTGGGAAGACGGTCCTGGACTAGCTCCCCAAATTTGGGGTCCTTAGATACCCCCGTTTTTTCAGGAAAATTCCGTCTTTCGCCTGCCTCCCGCCAGCCCTGCTCTGTCCCGATGCCAATTTTGGAAGTCACTCCCTCCTTCCTCCTCCCCGTCTCTCCAGGCCCCCCCCCCCCCGCTCGGGGACTAGGGTCCAGGACACCTGGCTTCCAGACCGGGGGTAGGGGGGGTACTCGTCAAGGGGCAGGGGGCCAGGAGGTCAAGCTCATTGCCCCTGTCTTAAGGAAGCAGGAAAGCCCGATCCTCGCCTCCCCTCCCCCCTGGCTGGTCTCCGTGGTGGTTTAGGGAAGCCTGGAGGATTGGAATCTGCCATTGCTGTTGCACAGGCAGTTTTTTTTCCTTGGGTTGGGGGGGTGGGCGGTGGGAGGGAGAGAGGGGAGGAGAGCCGAAGAAAGCAGGGACCCAGGCGGGAAGATCTGGCCTGTCTTATCCTCTTACCCCTGCTGCCGTTGGGCACCCCTCCCCCTCAGCTCACCCACACTCCCAGTCCTGTCTGCTTTCTGTTTGGGACTCATATCCTAGACAATCAGGGTACAGGAATCACCTCCTTGTACCCCATCACCACCCTCCTTACCACAGTTCCCACAGTACTGCCATGGTCAGGGGTTTACACTTACCACAAGACACCCCTTTTTCCTCTATCTGACCCCAAACTGAGGGGTTTTTTTCCCTTAAGAAATTAAGGTTCAGTCTAAAACCACCCTTTCTCTCTCGGATCTATCCAGGCCACATACTAAGTCCTTGTAGAGATATCATGCCTTTTCCAGATTTCTCCCTTGAAATCCTGGGCTTATTTGGGGGTTCACTAAAGAAAGAAATTTTGAGAATCTAGATGACATCCGGAACCAGAAACATGAACCTCCAAATCAATCTTACTTTATGATCCATCTCCCAGCTTTACCAAATGTGCCCAAAGAATAACAAATAAGGACACTCCAGAACTCAAGTATTTTACTTTGGGGGCCCTCACCTTGTTTCTTCCCCAGAGGTTTCATGGCTATCCTTGCATAAACAGGAATAACCTCTCATCAAAATAAGTTTCCACAAGATTCAAATATTAACCTTTGCCCCCCACCCCGAGATCCCCAACCACAAAAAGCTTCAGATTTGTTCCCATTTTCCTATTATGCTCCACCTTAAAGTATTTTTTTAAAGCTCCAGATTGAATTTTATGCCCCCAACAATCTCAACGTTGAAACTTCTATGGCACCCCAAAACAGACTGCACCCCAAAATCAGCATGTGTTTTCTAGCTCTCCTGATAGTCCAAAGTGACAGAGATCAACACAATATCCAAACTGTGGATGTCAGAACCCCCAGAAACAACGTAGCTTCACAGTCAGCTCCCATGCCTCAAACTTACCATAGACTCCCAAGGCCCTATTGACCATAACAATATAGAACTGACCAGCTATCCAGATACCAAAGGGAGTCCCTAGTCTAGTTCTCACTTCCAAAATGGGCAAAGACCAAAGTAACTCTCAGGCCAAAACCTACCCACTCACCTCACCATCCTGAATCCTTAGTTCCCACTTTCTCAACTGTTACTTTGTATACTCAGATAAACACAACATCAGAAAGGCAGGGAGCCAGGCCTACATGTACAGCTCAGTCAGTCACTTGTTTATGCTCCTGAACCCAGATCCAAAGAGTTCTGCTTTGCTTCTGGGCTCAGTTCTGGCCCCTCTTCTCTTGCCCCTCCCCCCAAAAAATATATATAAGGGTGTGACCCATGCCTATCTCCCAGATCAGAGACTTCAAATTACTGTGTTAGCCCCCTCCTACTCTGCCTCTTTCCTGTTCTTCCTCTTTCATATTAATGTCCGCTAAAAATTCACCTCCAAAGACGTATGAATAATAGTGTCTACCTTTTTTTTTTTTAATGTAGCCTCGGATGACCTTGAACCAAAATCCTCCTGCCTCAGCCTCCCAAGCGCTGGGATTACACACCAACGCCACCATGCCTGGCTGGCTAATAGTGTCTATCTTAATTAGAAAAGAAAACTTCGTGCTCCCAGATTCACGCCCCACTCCTTGTCCCACCCACTCCCCACCCAATGTCCGCTTATCTCCCATCTCAGTAGGAACTGCAGTCAGAGGGGAAAAGCCCGCAATCCCGTAACTCTACTTTCCTCTGCTTAGTAACCCCCTAATAGAGGTGCAAAGCAGAGAAGGCAAAGGTTTTAGCCGCCCATCCTGCGCCTGGGTCTGAGCACACCCGCAGTGGGGTGGAGACCACTAGCCAAGCGAGACTAGTGCTTGTCCGCCCTCTCGTGGAAGGAACCAGACACTGCCAAGCTTTGCCTACTTGCCGCGCTGGACCCCGGCGTCCCGCCAGCCTCAAAGCGTAGCCGACAGGCGTGTGCTCTAGGCCCTAGTGAGCCGGGACTGGGGGAGAGCAAGCGGACTTTGGGCGGGAGTCCATCCCTCTGGTCGCTAACAGGACTCAGAAAAGAGTCGGGAGCAAGAGGCCGGACACCTAGGTTCTAGCCTCCCTCAGTCCCCACCCGGGACTTTCCCCACCTCCTCGAGGGGAAGCAGCTGGCAGAGCCGTCCGGTCGCAGGACAATGGAAGGAAACAAACTAGAAATCATATCCTCCCTCTCCCTACCCCGCCCGATCAGAGGTCCCCCCACCCACCCACCCACCCACCTTTAGGCACTGCTAGAAGAATCTTTCATTCACACCACACCCTCTTACTACCCCCACTAGTGCCTCGCCAAAACCTGGTGCATCGTTGGTCTCCCACTTATCTCCCTTAAGGAAGAGTTTTGCTATATTCATTGTCTCCTTCAACAGGCTGCTGGCACCCCCTTCTAAGAGCCAACACACCAATTTCCGTTGTCCCAGTCCTCCGACGACAGAGGGCCCCCATATTTCCAATCTCGACACCACTCACATCCCCTCCCCAATTCCAATATCCTCATCCTCAGTTCCACTTTTAATTAACCAAAGCCCCCTACTTTACGACCACCTTGCGTTTCTGAGGTCCCGCCTTTGAGACGGAGATCCCGCCCAGGGCTCGCCATCTGGAGAGCGAGGGAGGAAGGAAGGATACAGACCCAGGCGTTCCCCCCACCTCCACCCCCGCCCCCGCCATCCCGGCAGGATAAAGGAGCAAGAGAGGAGAGAGACCCCGCCCCCTTTGAGAAGAACAGCCGCAGCCCCTGCAGGACGGGGGTAAGAGCAAGACATTGAGGGAGCCAGACACCTGGGTCCCCAAAGACGGTTGAGACTTGTTGATGGTAATAAGATTTGAGTTCCAGAGATTGCGCTAAACTAGGCTTTGGGGACTAAATAAGAGTAGCAGAATTCTGCGGTTCGGGGAAGGGAGCTTTGGGATTTGGAGGGGTGTGGCCCACAGGTCATGTGTGGTCACTACAGGCAGGGCACCTGAGACCCTGGCACGGAGCGAAACGGAGGCAAGGAAGGTAGGTGGTGGAGGGCACTGGGGTTGAACGAAAGGCGCTGCACGCGGGACTCCACACGCTCACCATCGACGCAGCTGTGTGGGAACCTCCAATTTGCTCCAAGCGCTGTGGGTTGTAACAGAGAGAAGACAGCGACCATATGGTTAAGGACAGAATGGACACGATGAATTAAATGGGACTGCGTGTGCGGGGCAGGAATCTGGAGGCCCTGGCTCTAGCAGCACCTCAGGGAGGAAAAGGCAAGAAGAGAAGGCACGGTGGCCTTAGAATTGCCTGAATCCCTGAGCCCTTTCCTTGTCACCCGCAGGCTTGAGTCGCTATGGGTTCTACTGAGGCTCCAGAGGCAGCACTGGGCTATGTCCGCGAGTTCACTCGCCACTCGTCCGACGTGCTGGGCAATCTGAACGAGCTGCGCCTGCGTGGGATCCTCACTGACGTCACGCTGCTGGTTGGCGGGCAACCCCTGCGAGCACACAAGGCAGTTCTTATCGCCTGCAGGTTCGAGGAGTGGGGCTCATGGGGACCAAGTGGGAAAGGAGCTGAGCCATAGGCCATTGAGAGGGAATCCAAAGCCAATCCTTCCAGAAGTATGAGCGGAGACCCCGAATTGGGGGAGGGGTGATCGCGGTGAAGTAGGACTCTCTAAAGCAGTCCCTAACAAATCATAACCTATCTGCCCTCTCTCCAGTGGCTTCTTCTATTCAATTTTCCGGGGTCGAGCTGGAGTGGGGGTAGACGTGCTTTCTCTGCCCGGGGGGCCCGAAGCCAGAGGCTTTGCTCCTCTTCTGGATTTCATGTATACTTCGCGGCTTCGCCTCTCTCCTGCCACTGCACCAGCTGTCCTTGCGGCTGCCACCTACTTGCAGATGGAACATGTAGTACAAGCATGCCACCGCTTCATCCAGGCCAGGTGAGGGAACCCTGGCTCTGTGTCCTCCATGGGTGAGGTGGCACCCCCGGTGTCAAAGGCAATAAAAAAGATTACAAAATAGCACTAATGGCCGTCACAATTTTTCTAGCTACCAACCTGTAGGTATCTCCCTACGGGCCCTGGAAGCAGAACCTCCTACACCTCCAACAGCCCCTCCACCAGGCAGTCCCAGGCGCTCTGAAGGTCACCCAGACCCACCTACTGAGTCTCGAAGCTGCAGTCAAGGCCCCCCAAGTCCAGCCAGCCCAGATCCCAAAGCCTGCAATTGGAAAAAGTACAAGTTCATCGTGCTAAACTCTCAAGTCTCCCAAGCAGGGAGCCTGGTGGGGGATAGGAGTTCTGGTCAACCTTGCTCCCAAGCCAGGCTTCCCAGTGGAGATGAAGCCTGCAGCAGCAGCGAGGAAGGACCCACTCCTGGTTCCCAGAGCAGGTACAGAATCCACAACTCCAAGAATTTGTAGAGGCTGGCCTCAGCTTAGGAGGCGGAGCCATTGAGTCTGTGTGGTCAGGAGGCAGATAGATGCTGTGGGTATCAGAGAGACTAGCCCTCCTTAGTTGGGTGGGACTTTGACAATTAAGTAGATGTGGATCATTGGTCAATGCTAACTCACCTCCAGAGTTCAACTCCAAGTTCTCCAGGAAAGAACCCCCACCACACACACACAATCTCTCTTAACCTTTTGTCTGGACCTTGCCATTTGCCTAGGCGCTCTCCAACCACTACCACTGGACAGTTCAAATGTGGAGTTACATCCAATGTGCCCTATCTACTCACACCCCCAGCTCAAGAGACCACTGGATCACGCTTTGAGCGGGCTCATCCACAACCAGGTAAGAGCTCTTCTTTTCTGGCTTTTCTCCTGTAGCTGCAACCAGGCCAGCCTGGGCCAAAAGGCCTCATGAAGGGCTTATTCCAGTGGACCCTAAGCTTTACTGTAAATCAGAATCACCTGGGAAGCTTTAAAAACTCCATTGCCGAAGTCACACTCCAAAGATCAGAATGTCTGAAAGTAGGGACCAGGCATCAGTATTTTCTAAAGCTCTGCAGATGCTTCCAGTGAGCAGCATAGTTTGGGCCTACCCCCATAGGGGACTGAGTGGTATATCAGGGCTTGGCAAAGCTTCTCTGACAGGTTGTCATCCAGAATAGTGCAGGAAAGAAGGGAGAAACAGAAACCTCCACCAACAAGCAGGGACTTCCACCTACTTTCACCACTATTGAAAAAAAAAAAAATAGGAGTGTACTTTGGAGCTAGTCAGATGTGGAGTCAGATCTTACTAACCATATGGCCTTTGAGCAAATCAAATGAGTTTCCAGAGGCTTCATAGTAAATTGGGGAAAAGAAAGCCTACCACTCTGTAGTTGAGGGGTCGCCGGCACCTATGGTTGTCATTTGCTCACTTTCCTTCCCAGGAAGTGAATTTTTCAGCTGCCAGAACTGTGAAGCTGTGGCTGGGTGCTCATCGGGGCTGGACCCTTTGGCTCCCAGGGATGAGGATAAGCCCTATAAGTGTCAGCTCTGCCGGTCAGCCTTCCGCTACAAGGGCAATCTGGCCAGTCACCGCACGGTGCACACAGGTAGGAGAGGAGAGGACCTTGGCCTTCGTGCCCACCGCGACCCTAGGGCAAAAACCCTGACCTCTCTTCCTCCCTACTTGCAGGGGAAAAGCCCTACCACTGCTCCATCTGTGGAGCACGTTTTAACCGACCAGCTAATCTGAAAACGCACAGTCGCATCCATTCCGGAGAGAAGCCCTATAAGTGTGAGACGTGCGGCTCGCGCTTTGTTCAGGTAGAAAGCCAGTCTCCGAGAGATTCAAAGCCAGGAGATTGGGGCGGGCTAGTCCGGAAGGTTGGGTCCCTCCGGAAGGAGTGGTCTAAAGGCGCCTCTCCTCCCCAGGTGGCGCATTTGCGCGCGCACGTGTTGATTCACACCGGAGAGAAGCCCTATCCGTGTCCCACCTGCGGAACCCGCTTCCGACACCTACAGACCCTCAAGAGCCATGTTCGCATCCACACGGGAGAGAAGCCTTACCACGTGGGTAACCACAGTGGCCTGACTTTACATTCCATTTACCTGGGGGTGGGGCTCTGACCCGGACCGGCCTTGCTACCCCGAGATCACTTGGGAATGGGCGTGGCATGAGGTGTCCAAGAGGCTACGAGGCTTGGGCCAGTGATAGGGATGGGTAGTTAGTTATACTCAAGGACTGGGCGCGGTTTTCTCGAAGAGAGTCTAACACATGGGGAAACTTTTGCTAAATAAGGCAGGGCCTGGCTCCTGGGCGCCCCCTGAGAATTTGAGGGCCAAAGGGCTAATTTTCGGTGGAAAGCTCCACAGCTTCCCCTTGCTCAACACTTAAAAAGGTGGTTATAGGGCCGGCGGAGTGACAAGTGGTAGAGCGCCTGCCTAGTAAGCTTGAGGCCGATTGCAAACCCCGGAACTGAAAAGAAAAAAAAGGTGGTTGGGGAAGAGAAGGGACCTGACCCTGCTGTCCTCCCGCAGTGCAACCCCTGCGGCCTGCATTTCCGGCACAAGAGTCAACTGAGGCTGCACCTGCGCCAGAAACACGGAGCTGCTACCAACACCAACGTGCACTACCACATCCAGGGGGGTCCCTAGCTGTTCACCTCACCAGACCCTATTGCCCCCAGGGGTCCGGGACAGCTGCAGGTTCAGGCCTGGCTCCCCTGTGAGTCTTGGTATGAGGGTGTGCAGGGCCAGTCTGGTATAAGAAACTGCTACCACCTTAATTTCTTGCTGGGGAGAGCAGGGGTGGCAGATCCCAGGCAGATCTGCCTCTGTTTTGCTGGTCAAAACCTCTTCCCAACAATCTAAATTGTCTAGCTAGGGCCTGGAAGAAGGGAGAGCCTGGAGGCTTTTCTTTCCTTAAGGGAACACCCCTCCACCTGTAGCCCCTAGTTCATCTGGTCTATCTGTAAATATAATTTATTGAGGCCTATGGATGGCACCAGGGCCTTCATTCTATTGCATGTACCACTTCCCTCTTCCACAAGTGTGATCAAAAGTGAGCTAAACACAGAAAGTGAGGTCACAGCTCTGCTGGCAGAGACTATTAGCACTTGGCTCTCTCTTTTGGCTTGAGTGTTTTATATTGTTGTCAGAACTTTTATTTTTAGAATTGTTCTTTCTCCTGTTTGCCTGTAGGTTTGTTAAAAATGGAGAAAGGGGTTCTCTGTGTCCTGTACCTCCAATTCTAGGTTTGGAATCTTTTATTCTTGGGCAAGCCCTGAGAACATGTGGATTGGGTCAGGAACCCTCTCTGGTATTTTGAATGTTGCAGGTTCTCTAGCAGGCTAGAACTTTCCCCTGTTCTTTAAGGATGATAGGAACTGTTATGTGACCCCAATATGGAGATAATAAATGCCTCTTGAAGAGTGGGAGTGTGGGGACTTGATTCTGTATTGATCTGAGTGGAAGCTAGTAGTCTTCCATGCACGATGATCCAGAACCTAAACTGTTCCATTACTCTGACCACTGGGCTTGCTGCACTGTAGCCATCTATCATAGTCAAACCCATTCAAGGGTTTGAATCGAGCCCATAATCCTCCCATAGGGGCCTGTTAGCATTGGGTTGATACCTCCATGGGGGAGAAATCCTTATCAGACATAAGGTAATTGTTTTATGATTCTACCCAGTCTCTAAGAATATTATGACCTAGAAAAAATTATGAAATTCTTTACTTTGACTAAAGAGTCATGACTCATCTTTTACTGCACAGATCTGTGTTTGAATATTCCTTGGGGTTTTCTTCACCTGAGATGAGCCCCTCTTTTAATGGGTTTTTGGACATCTTCTGGCAAGGGTTCAGATTCCAGGAACTTCTTTGTCTCTGAATCACTTGGTAATTTTCTTAACTTAGAATAGCTGGGTCTGTGATCCAGTCTTCCCATCCCAAAGCAGTGAATGCACTAGAACCTCCCACAAGAAGAAAAAGGGGCTCAGTTCCATTCTAGGTTTGTTGTAGTTGGGGTTATGATTGGGATTATTGTTGGGATTACAGATTTAAGAGATTGAAAAGACTAGTTGATTGATGGGCCACAGGCCCCTTCTAGTTGACCAAGTTGCCAGGTAAGATTAAGAGTTTGGTTGAGGTCTGCAGTTTCTGGTGTAACCAAGGAGGTAAAAAGTTAGGAATGGGGTTGTCTCTGGCCAAGATGGAGTATCTGGAATGTTAGCTGATTCTCTGGAGCCTTGAATTATAGTCCTAATCCTTGTTGCCCTGGAACCTATTTGATTATAGGACATGGGTGGAGGGTAAGAAGCACTTTTGAATTTGTGGGGTAGGACTTCCTCAAATAAGTACTAGTAGCTATCACTTGGGGACTTATAAGCAATCGATTTTTCTCCCTCTTTCCATCTTTTTCCCCATCACAGAATTGAAGAAGGGAGGAAAAGCAGAGATCTGAGAAGGAATCATGATTTCTGTTAGAGACTAGATGGGCAGGTAGAAAGTTCAGGGTGGGGGTGGGGTAAGATGTAAGATTATGTCCTTGGAATAAAGAAACCTCTCTGTGCCACCTGCTGTGTCTTAAGTGTTCTCTCTCTTATTTTCTTTAGCTTTCTTTTTTTTTTTTTTTTTTTTGCAGTACCGGGGTTTGAACTCAGGGCCTCATACTTGCTAAGTAAGCACTCTACCACTTGAGCCACTTCACCAGCTCTTACTGGGTTCTCTTACTGGGGGAGGAGGGTGGATCTGGCAGATTGGAAAGAGGCTTCCCCCTCCTAAATAACAACTTTGACTCTGCTCATTTCACTGTTCAACCCACCAGACATCTTAAATGATCCTTGTTCTCCCCTCCCTGCCCCTGCCTTCCGGCTCATTGTGTAGGAACCAGTGACTTCATGAAGTTTTCTCCGGAGCCACCTGCATCCTGCTGGTCTGAAGTCACTTCCTGGCCTGGTTGTAGAGGCAGCAAGGAGAAACTAGGAAGCCAATAGTAATAGTTGGGGATCTTCATGCTTGGGACATCCCACCACCACCATCAAGGAAATGAATAAGATTTGAATCTTACGCATTAGGACAACAGGGGCTGGAAGTGGCAGTGAGAAGGCCCCCTGTAGTTAAGTACCAGCATGCCAACTCTACCCTTCTCCTGGCAGTGGTATCTTGGAATCCATCTAGTGTCCAGTACAGGTGGTGCCTTTTCCTCCTTTTCTCCTGGCCTGTGTGTCTCTTCCTTGCACAGGTTTGTTGTGACCCTTTGTAGAGGTAATTTATTCTGATGTTACCTCTTTTGGGACCTTGAGTTCCTTATCTCTGATAAACATCAGTTAATATGATCTCTACAGTACCTTCCAACTTTATAGGTTGCGGTTGTGTTTCTTAATCTTTTTTATTTTTTTGGTGGTACTGGGGCTTGAACTCAGGGCCTACATCTTGAGCCACTCCTCCAGCCCTTTTTTGTGATGGGTTTTTTTGAGTTAGGGTCTTTCGAACTATTTGCTATGGCTGGCTTGGAACTTTGATCCTCCTGATCTCTGCTTCCTGAGTAGCTAGGATTACAGGCATGAGCAACTCGTACCCGGCATGTTTCTTTTTTTCATTATTTTAACAGGCATGTTTTTTAATCTTAAAAACCTATGATGTGGATTGGATTTTTTTAAAACAGCAAAAAACAAAAACTAAACTAAAATCTTCCTTCACCTCCCACTATAGCTTATCCCAGCTAATATTACTTATCTTGTGTTACATTAGGCCCTAAAGCATTTTAGTGCATGGATTTTCTATTTTAACCCTGCACAGCCATCCTAAAAAGTAGGTACTAGTATACCTAGTTTACAGATTGGGAAACTGAGGGGTTCAATATCTTGGCCAAGTATAAATGATAAAGTCAAGTGTTAATCAGTGTTAGATATATGATCTCAAGGACTTCCACATCTTTGGCATATTCCCCACTAGTCAATGCTTTGACTGCACTTAGCAAAAAAAAAAAAAAAAAAATATATATATATATATATATATATATGTGTAATTTTGGTATGGATACTTTTATTTTCCATATAGGAAACAAGGCACTTCAATGTTTTTGTTGTTGTTTGGTCTTGTTTTGTTTTGTTTTTGTGGTGCTGGGGATTGAACCCAGGTCCTTCCACTGGCAGCATTTGACCATTGAGCTACATCCCCAGCACTTTTTTGAGAGAGGGTCAGGGTCTCACTATGTAGTTCAGGCTGACCCTGAACTTTCCATCCTCCTGACTGCTTCTCCAGTGTTGGGATTACAGACATGTACCACTACTCCTGGCTCAATTATACTTTTTTAAAACTACATTGCCTCCTGCTCCATGCCTCTCTTCTTGTTTGCCTCATTCCCCACTGGTCCAGGTATGAACTCTTGAGCCCAAGGTTTCAAGGTTAGGGTTCTGGGCAGCTTGAATTGTAAGCCATTAGGGTCTGGGTAAGCGACAGTCTGGGTAGGACTGGAGAGTGCTTGCTAGGGACCTGGGTATTGGCTGTGTGGGAGGTACCAGTTGTTCAGTGGACAGGATCACAGCTAGTCTCTTTAGTGTATTCCATCATGAGATCAAAAACTGTGGTTAGGAAATAGCTGTTACTAGAGGGCAGAGGAAGAGGTAGGCATTGGTGGAGCCCTGTGTGAGTTTACACCCGCCCTTCCTCTCCCCAGTTATTTTTGGTCCCAGTGACTTGCAGATTTCCTGTTAGTGGGAACAGAGATGACAGGAACAAGTTCTCACCACAGAAATGAATGCAAGGAGTCCAACAATTCACCCCTTTCCCTTCACCTGTGAACCTCTCAATAATCCAGGTGTCGCTGGGCGCGGGTGGCTCAGGCCTGTAATCTTAGCTACTCAGGAGACAGAGATCAAGAGGATCCCAGTTAGAAGCCAGCCCAGGCAAATAGTTCCTGAGACCCGATCTCGAAAAAACCCATAGCAAAAAAAGGGATGGCGGAGTGGCTCAAGTGGTAGAGTGCCTGCTTAGCAACTGTGAGACCCTGAGTTCAAACCTCAGTATCACACACACGCACAGGTCCAGAAGTCTGGATTTAGGAGACTGCATTAGCCATCACAGGTGCTTCGCCAGGTTATTTGTTTGAGTTTTATGTCATAACCTCCTCGTCCCCACCTGACCTGGCAATTCCTGGATTTTCTCATTAGCAAGTGAGTGCTTGTCTCTCCAGAACCAGTTTACCTACCGCCAGCTCTCACAAATGGGTCTTGATGCTGAAACGTGGACGACCTGGCACCCAAGGTGAACATGGAATAGTACCACCGGCCCTCCATCACAGCCCCCTCAGCCGCAAGTTCCTTAGTCACATGGGGCCTCCCTAAGCCCCTCCTTACGCATGCGTCCCACTTACTGCCGGTCCAGAACAATGCACTAAATCCTGCCCAGCCTCCTGGATCCGCCCCCTGCTCGAGTCCCCTGTCCTCCTCCACGGGCTCAGAACTGGATGCGGGCCCACTTAGCCAGGTGCAGACATCCCCAAAGAGAAGACCACACCTAGACTGGCGTGCGTCAGGGGTGTGGCCCAAACCCAGTTACGTTTCTGGCTGCTAAAGAAATATTGCGGCCCCGCGGCGAATGATCTGGTTCAGGTCTGGACTCTTCAGCAGACGGCCAGCAGGACCACGCCTCCGCGCGCTTGCAGCGGTGACCGGTGTTGGTCTGTCCCCACTCCTTGGCCGCCCCCCGTGGAGAAAGGCGCAGGCGCCTTTCAGTACCTTCCTTTCCACCAGCCTTCCCTTCTCCGCTTGGCACCCAGCCGCCAGGTAGGGAGGGTGGGCATCGCCGAGCACTCACAGCCCAGCTCCCGCAGGTGCTCTTAGTGGCGGCAGCCTTGTCCCTCCCCAGATGGCGCGCAGGGCCGAGCCTCCTGACGGGGGCTGGGGATGGATGGTGGTGCTCTCAGCGTTCTTCCAGTCGGCGCTAGTGTTCGGGGTGCTCCGCTCCTTTGGCGTCTTCTTCGTAGAGTTTGTCGCAGCGTTTGAGGAGCAGGCGGCGCGCGTCTCCTGGATCGCCTCCATAGGAATCGCGGTGCAGCAATTTGGAAGTGAGTGCTGGTTCCTGCGTCCGGTGTCCTGCGACCCTCAGAAGAGAGGGGGGATGCGGGGACAGGAAAGGGGAAGGGCGGGAGTCGAGAGGATGCTGAGGGAGGCTGCCTAAGACCGTATCTTAGAACTCTTTCCACTTCCCCAGGCCCAATAGGCAGTGCCCTGAGCACGAAGTTCGGGCCCAGGCCAGTGGTGATGATTGGGGGCGTCTTGGCTGCACTGGGAATGCTGCTCGCCTCATTTGCTACCTCCTTAACCCACCTATACCTAAGTATCGGACTGCTCTCAGGTGAGGCCCTGGGCAAGGACAGGAGAGTCACATGATCTTTGATCTCTGGATTTTCACTTCTTCCTGCTTCTTCCAAAAGGCTTAGTTAGGGAGAAGCTGGGGAAAAGGTTGGCTAGCACCTATGCCCTGAAGGGGGTTAATTCTTAAGAGGAATGCCTGAATTGATAAGTATGTTGGGAAAGAATACAGAATATACAAGTCCAAGCTAGTGGGATTGGAAGGAAGAATTTCTTTAAAATGATGCTAGGCACTGTGACTGTGAAAGAGATGTCATTAGCCTATATATAACGAAAGGATTTTGAAGATTATGCAGTTTGGCAAAGGAAGGTTACACAGCCAGAAGTGGTAGAGCTGGGATCTAACTCCAAAGTTCTCTGCTAGTTACTTTACAAACCTCTGTAATCCTCCCCAGCCCCACAAAGTATATTAACCCCATTTTGCAGATGAGCAGATTGAGGCTGAGCATATAACATACAAGGTCATACACCTAGGAAGTGTCAAAGCTAGGACACCCAGGACTGAGATTCAAAAACAAGGGCTAGTCTGTTGCTGGGCAGTGTTGGGATTACTGGGTTCCCTGAGCTCTCCAAAAGCCCCCAACCCCCATTTCTTCCTTTTTGACAGGCTCTGGCTGGGCCTTGACCTTCACTCCAACCCTGGCCTGCCTGTCCCGTTACTTCTCTCGCCGAAGATCCCTGGCCATGGGACTGGCACTGACAGGAGTGGGCCTCTCCTCTTTTGCATTTGCCCCTCTCTTCCAGTGGCTCCTCAGCCACTATGCCTGGCGGGGAGCCCTAATGCTGGTGTCTGCCCTCTCCTTCCACCTGGTGGCCTGTGGTGCTCTCCTCCGCCCACTTTCCCTGGCAGAGGACACTGCTGTGGGTGGTCCTGTGTCCCAACTCACCTCCCTCATCCATAATGGCCCCTTCCTCCGTTACACTATTGCCCTCACTCTGATCAACACTGGTTACTTCATTCCCTATGTCCATCTGGTGGCCCATCTCCTGGACCTAGGTTGGGACCCACTGCCTGCTGCCTTCCTACTCTCAGTGGCTGCTATTGCTGACCTCGTGGGGCGCGTGGCCTCTGGGTGGCTGGGAGATGCAGTCCCAGGGCCTGTGGCACGACTTCTGATGCTCTGGACCACCCTGACTGGGGTATCACTAGCCCTGTTCCCTGTGGCTCAGGCTCCCACAACCCTGGTGGTTCTGGCTGTGGCCTATGGCTTTACCTCAGGTGCCTTGACCCCAGTGGCCTTCTCCGTGCTGCCTGAACTGGTGGGGACTGGAAGGATGTACTGTGGCCTGGGACTGGTGCAGATGGTAGAGAGCATCGGGGGGCTGCTGGGGGCTCCTCTGTCAGGTAAGGGGAATGGGGTTTCCAGGTGGGCCAGGGCTGCCATGTTGTACAGTTGGGGAAAGGAACTATTCCCATTATAGCATATATGGTACATAGCTTGCACAGTCAATCATAGCAGCCCTGAAATGGGTCCATGGGGCAAAGAACTTGGGGCTGGGAAGGTCTTCGTGGAAAGACAAAGAGGAGCTAAATGGAACCCTTTCCTGCCTGGGTTTTCACAGGACCAGGCAGGACCTATCCTAACATAGCATTCCAGTGTCTTCTTTTCCTTTGGCCCACTAGGCCTCCAGCCCAGTGTCTGGGCCATCTGGTTAAAGTTCTCCAAGCTCAAGATGCCAAAACTTCTGACCTTTAACACTTTCCTCTTAACTATTAACAACATGAAGGAGGGCCACAGAGGCCTGAAAGAAATGTGTACTTGACTTAATCTGGCTCACCAAATTCCCACATGCTGGTTTGGAGATCCTTTCTGAAGTCAGGAAAATATGTGAAAGTACCTTTTGAGGCCCTTTGGGAAACTTGAGTTCTAATTTCATGCAGCCTTACCGTGGGAGTTCCAAACCCTCCAAGATGATGGGTCTTCTCTATACCCAAACATGGGTCTAAGCTATCAGCCCCAATGTACTGATCACCCATGTGTATTCTTTTTCTCACTTGGACCTAGGCTACCTCCGAGATGTGACAGGCAGCTACACAGCTTCTTTTGTGGTGGCTGGAGTTTTCCTTCTTGCAGGGAGTGGAGTTCTCATCACCCTGCCCCGCTTCTTCTGCTTCTCAGCTCCTACCTCCAGACCCCAGGACCTTGTAATAGAGGCACTAGATACCAAAGTCCCCCTGCCCAAGCAGGAGGGGCTGGAAGAGAACTGAACTCTACCAAGAGGCAGTCAGGCCTCCAAAGCCAGAACTTGACAGCTTCAGGTCTTTTGTCCCATGGAGATATCCACAGAACCACAGTGCCTTAAGATTCTTGATCTATCTCCTCCAGAGCAGACCTGGGGCTCCTGAAATGTGTGTGCCAACCCTTTGTACCTTGTGCTCCTTTGCTCTCCCAACATTTTCTGAGGGATCTCGGAGATCCTGCTCCACTGAGCTGTGAATCAACTATGAAAACCAAAGACCAAGAGTGTTCTTATGTCTTACATGTGAGAAATATGGATGTCCCTTGGAGATAAAACCAAACAAGGAAACTGGACAATTATTAACTTCAAAAACAGCAGGGACCCATAAGCTTTGGTGGCTGATGGAGTCCTGGTGGGGCAGGGCAGGAGAGGTGCCCATGAGCCCTGGTGAGCAGTATTCCTCCCTCCTTCCTCACTATCCCTGTGATTGAGAAAAAAAGATTAAGAAAAGGGTATGTGTGTGGGGGAAGGTAGGTTGGAAGTAGGAGATAGAGCTGATAGAGCTGATATCTGGCCTAGGATTTTTTTTAAATCCTCCTCCTGCCTTCTCCTGAAAGCTGTCATTACAGGGGTGCGCCATCATACCTTGCAGGATTCTTTTATTTCAGGCCAACAGAGGGAGATTGAAATTAGAGTCTGTAGGATTTAGATCCTCAAGTAAAGGAAATGAAGATGTAGTAAATGGAGCATCCTCCCCATCACCCAATGAACTGAGCTGGGCTGACAGACAATTTCTCAAAATCTCCGTTATGTCAATGACTTAGGCAAAAAAAAAAAAAAAAATGAACTGGCTAGATGGACAGATACCCTTCCCCACCACCAGGATTACTGAGGACTTGTTCTTTTCAGCCTGCCTTTTGAGATTTTTTTTTTTTTTTTTCTGTACTGGGTGTGAACTCAGGGCCTTGAGTCACTCCACTAGCCGTTTTTTGTTAGGTTTGTTTTTCGAGATAGAGTCTTGTGAGCTATTTGTTTTTTGAGATAGACTCTCCTGAACTATTTGCCAAGGCTGGCTTCAAATTTCTATCCTCCTCATCTCTGTCTCCTGAGTAGTTAGGATTACAGGTGTGAGCCACCAGCGCCTGATTTGAGATATCTTAAATAGAGATTTTCAGGTTGGCTTTCAGGAAAATCAGATAAAAATTCTTTATTAGGGGAGAGGCTCAAACATGAAAATGATCAACAAGTGGTATCCCTAGTGGAGTCAAGGCCTCCTGGGGAGAGCAGCACAACCTGGGGAACTGGGAGCAGCTCCCCCCTCTCAGGGGGAGGGGTAGATGGACGTGAGGCTGGACGGCAGGAGGGGAGAGCTCTGGGAAGCCCCATGTAGATGAAGCTGCCAAAGAGGATGAAAGAGCCGCACACCAGGAAAGAGGCACTGAAATTTCCTGTCTCATCCCTTAGGAAGCCTGAGGGGAGGGGTAAACGAATTTAAAGGCCTGGCACCCTAGAGGCATACGATGATTGTGAGTGAATCTGCTGAATCGGCCCTTACCTGACAGGGGAGGGCCCAGAAGTCCCCCGAGGCTCATCAGCATCATCACCAGCCCAGTGGCCTGCACCACACCTCCAATGCCCACCAGCCCCGGAAGCACACCGAAAACCAAAGGGGCGTAACTCCCGGCGCTCAGTCCGTAGGCACCAGCCACTGCCAACAGGGGGCCCCCCCAGCCCTCCTCGCTCTCCACCGCGGGCACTAGTCCCACTGCCAGCAGCCCCAGCCCTGTCAGAGCCCCGAACACGGCCAGCAGCCGCGGAAGGGGAACCCAGCCCTGGTCTGCCAGCCACCCACTGACCAGTCGGGCGCACGCATCCCCCACCGCAGCGACAGCCACCACCAGCGCTGCCCCGTACCCCCCCAGACCCCGGTCTAAAGCGTGAGGGGCCAAGTGCACGTAGGGAACGAAGTACCCGCCCCCAATCAGGGCTGTTCCGAGAGCAAAGATTGAAAAGGCCCGGCGCTTGAAGAGACCCAGGCCAAGGGCAGCTAGGGGGCTGCGGGGTGGGGCCGGGGGGTCACCAATAAGGGCTAGGGGTCGCAGCAGGGCGCCACAGGGGGTGAGATGGAGGGTGACAGCGCCAAGGAGGAGCAGGGCGCCCCGCCAGCCGAAAGTATCAAGGAGGAGCTGCAAGGCGGGCGCCAGGACTAGAGAGGAGGCCCCGTTACCGGTGAGTGCCAGCCCCACCGCCAAGACCCGACGGCGGGAGAAGTAACGGGAGAGGGTACCGAGGGCAGGGGCGAACACCAGGGCCCAGCCGGAGCCTGCGAATGGATAGAGCAGGGTGAGGGCGGGAACCGGGGAGGCCTGGCCCAGCATTCCCAGCCCTGCTTCCCTAGCCCCAAACAAGCTCCCATCCCCATCATCACCCCTGAAGGGCCTGGGCATCCCATTCCCCTCACCAGCGAGGAGGCCCAGGCCGAGGTAGAGGTGCAGCAGGCTTTGGGCGAAAGCCGAGAAGAAGAAGCCGAGCGAGGTAAGAACGCCCCCGATCATCACCACGGGGCGCGCCCCCCAGCGTGTGCTCAGAGCGCTGCCCACTGGGCCTAGAAGGGGGCAGAGTCAACGGAAGACTTGCCACTGGACCCCCAAAATTTTCTCCAACACTTCTCATTGGCTCTTTGCCTGGCCTAAAACTCCTCCTCTGTTCTACTAACTCCTCCCCTTGACCTCAAGCCCTACTCTCTGCTAGAACTTATTTCTAGAACCAGTTCACTCTCAGGCTTCTGGCAATTAAGTGGGTCTCCCATCACTACATTCATGGTGTCTCCACCCAGTTCCCACCTCCCACCTCGGGCCCCCCCCTCACTGGCTGCCTGCTGCACGGCCAAGGCCAGGGCGCTGACCCACGCAGTGTCCTGGGCGCTTCGTTCAAAGTGCTCCGCGAAGTCAGGAAGGGCAAGGCCCAGACAACGTAAGAGCCCGTAGGAAAGCCCGTTCACGGCGAAGGTTGAGGCCGCCACCACCCAGCCCCAGCCCCCGTCCGGGGGTCCGGCCGGCTTGGGGGTCATCGCCGTCTGCGTAAGTGGGGGAACACCTGTGAATGAAATCTCCACGCCTGAGCGTCCGCTAGGAAGCTGGCATCCTCGAGATCCAGCCTCAGGCTGCTCGCCCAGGGTGGGCACGTCGCCCCGAGCTTGGGCGCGGGAAGCAGGCCCAGGGAGAGAAGTCCTGGGTGCGCGCGAGCTACTGGGACGGGGTGAGGAGGGCAGCCTGATCCCCTAGGCCGGGGGATCCCCCTCCCACACCATTTTCCCCTTACCCGACCTCTCCGGGCGTTGGGGGGAAGGGAAGGGCGAGGAAGGGTTCGCCGGGTTTTCTCCCGGCTTCCCCGGCGGACAGGGCCCCGGAGAAGAGCAAGTGCAGAGATGGAGCCCAACTTGAACGGGCTTCTCCGTAAACAGAGATCACCACAGGGGCCTGAGCCACCTGGGACGCGAGTGGGGGGGTACCGAGGGCGGGGGGAAGCCGAGACAGTCAGCCAATCCGCCAAGCCGCGGGTGAGGCCAGACGCCTAGTCCCACGGGGATTGAATTATCCACACACAACCCCCAGCCCCTGATAGGGAGCGACGAGAAATGAATGCCGAGCGGCCGCGCCCAGCCCCGCCCAACACTGCGGGGCTCACGCCCACGCACCTGCCACCAGCTGCGCACAGAGGGAGATATAAGGATTGCAACCTCTACCAAACCCAGGGACCAGTGCCCACGCATGGAAACAGGGGTGGTTTCCAAAGCCTAAGGGAATGAATGAATAGTTCCGTTCTGAAGATCCTGTAAATATAAAATCATTGGCCTCCAGTGGGTGCCCACCAGCTCCATGCTCATTAATAGGCTGTCCTCAAGGAGGGGAGGGAAGAGGACTCTCTAATATTCGGACCTGTGATGTGCTGGACACTTTACGCCTATTACCCTTTCATCCTTGCAATAGCCATACAGAGAAGGTGGGACATTCCCATTTTACAGATAGAGCAACTGAAGCTCAGAGAGATTAGTTGATTCTCCCCAAGACACTCAGCTGAAAAATGTTGGGAACATTGGAATTTAGGTCTGTTCTGACTATGCAGGGAGAACAGACCTAGGAGTAAAATGGAATCTACTGCCCTTGATGACCATGACCTGGAGACAGATTGATGCAATTGCCCTACTGCCCTAGAAAGGGCAGAACCTTTGCAGAGCCAGAGAGCTTATGACTCTAAAACAGGGGTGACTGGGAATAGAAGAGGTCTTTTTCATCAGAATCTTTAAAGACTTAGGCCAGAATTTTAAAAGAAAAGGAAGAAGGACTGGAGGTATGGCTCAAGTGGCAGAGTACCAGCTTTGCAAGTGTGAAGCCCTGAGTTCAAACACCAGTTCCACCAAAGAAAAAAGAAAAGGAAGAAATCAGAAACTTGAAACCAGGTGTTGATTTCTTGAAAAACTATGATAAACATTCTTTTTATACTGGTTAGCATTGCTTTACATCAGTTCTATGAATCAAGAGATGTGTTTTTTGGTTTAATTATTAAACAATACCATGGAAATTTCAGCAATTTAAAAGTTGGAGCTAGCATCATCTCACAGCCACAGGATGGCAGTGTTTTCTTATTGTTGAGAAAATATCTGCTTGTGAGGAAGACAGCTTAAGTTGTGATCCTGTAAACTTGGTTTTTTTTTTTCTGGGGGGGAGGCAAATAACAGCAAAACCTTCATGCCTCTCCATTGCCTATAGGGAAGGAAATCAAATTTCCCCACTTTGTGTATAAGGCCTTTCACAATAATCAAAGGTGAATCTAAGCTATCTTTCCATTCCATCTCACTCCCCTCCCACTAGCCATTAACTTCTCACCTACTCCAGGGACATGCCTAGTTTCTTCTCATTTCTGGATTTTGGTTTATATCATTTTCCCTGCTGAAATGTCCTGATGGGATTCCGGAGTCTGAAGGTTTAAGGTCCTGCCACATACACCTCAGGAAAGTGGCCCCACCGGTTTCCCCAGTCTGGAGTGCTCTTTGTAAAAGCCACCAGAGCAGTGGAGCCAGCAGCTTCTTAAGTCACCCCAGGCAGGGAGCATGCTTTCTGAGGACTCTGCTATAAGTCGAACAAGGTCAACTGAAAGGAATCGCTCTCCCTGGTGAAGTAGAAATGCAGTCATAAAGGAACTGGGCCTTTTGGGCCTGGGACTTGTACCAAGTCATGCTAAGCACTTCTGCAGATGCAAAATCCAGAAGTACATCCCAAAGCCTGGGACTAGGGTGACTGGTTGTAAAAGGGCACATTCTTAGTCAGATTCTTAGCCAGAATTGCCACCTGTTACTCATGGAGGCTATATAACATAGAGGTTGGAAGAATAGACTCCCAAGCTAGACTTCCTATGCTTGACTACCAGCTCTCCCACTTAGCTCTATGATTGCAAGCAAGTTACTCAGTCTGTCAAGTTACTTAACAGAGAGGTTGCCTCTGTTTCCTCATTTCTAAAATGGGTGTAAGAATGCCAGCTACCTAATCAGGTTGGTATGAGTCACCATGTATGCATGTGTAAGTAAAGGACTTGGAGCAGCACCTGAATATGATACTGGTTAGCCCCCTGGCTGCCATTGTTGTAACTCAGGGAACCTGGCTAGACCTTCGCAGCACACCGCTACCCTTTCCCCACCTGGCTGCTCTGCCAATGCCTCAAAGCCAAGGAACATTGGTCTGGTGAGTTCAAGGCCAAAGAGCCACATTGTTCTGGTGAGTTCTTAGAACCACATGAGTTATAATGTGAATATCTATAAAGAGATTAAATGGAAACTTTTTTCTTTGTGGTGGGTGTTTGTTTCCCCCCCCCCAGTGTTTCCCAAAGTTTATAAGAAAATGCTGGTCTCCTTATCTCTAAAAACAAAAAAGAAAGGACTCAAAGTAAGTTTTATTCATTCTCTTATACAAAATATTTATAGATATCTGTCATGCCCACTACTGTGCTTAGGACTAGCGATACAAGTGTGAATAAGATACAGTCTCTCCCTTGGCCCACAATCAAATAAGAGAAACAGTCACATAGAAAAGAAATCTCAGCACAAAGGAGAGACACATACGTGCACCATAGTGTGGTGCATGATTCACTTGGTTTGGGCCTGCTGAGGGCTTCACAGAAGATAAGCCCATAAGCTGGGTCTTGAAGGATGAGTAGGAGTTTACCAGATGGATGTGTGGGCACGGGCATTCCAGGCAAAGGGAGCAACTTGCAGAAAATTGCAAAAACTAGCTTGGCACACTATCTGTTGTCTTGGTAGCTGTAAATAGCTGCTGTGTAGAGAAAGTGTGTAGAAAAATGGTGTAGGATGAAGCTGTTGGGGCAGAGAATCCTGTCCGAAAGGCCTTGAAGATGTTTTTCCAGAGATACTTCCCAAAATTTCCACCAAGGGAGCATTCACTAGTATTGGAAACTGGATAGAGAGGAGGAGATGCCACAGCTGAGGAATAGGGAGAATCTGTATGGCAGGCCTTTTGCATGTGGGGAATTTCTTTGAAATATCTTGTTTTATGTTGAAGAGTCACATGGAATTCTTTTTTTTTTTTTTTTTTTTGTGGTGCTGCTGAGGTTTGAATTCAGGGTCTCACGCTTTGTAGACAGGTGCTCTACCACTTGAACCACTCCACCAGCCCTAATATGGAATTTTGCATTCTACTTTCTAACCTTTTTTCTTTATCCTTTAAATTTTTAAATTTTCTTGTGGTACTGGTGTTTGAACTCAGGGCCTCATGCTTGCTAGGCACCCTACCACTTGAGACACTCTGCCAGCCCTATAACAATCTGTGATGCATGCTTTCATAAGAAAATAATGCTTTAAGTAACTAGATAAATTGTTCACTGTTTTCTCCTCAAGTCTTCATAAGTCCAGGAAGATGTACCTATTGATTCTAAGGTTTTGTTTTCCCTGGCACATTGCCATTAGGGATGACGGAAGCCACTGATGGGGAAGTCCCCCTGACCACACTGGTGCCTAATCTGCTTGTTAATTTACATCAGAACACTTCCAGCTTGCAGTGAAATTGTCTGTTTTTGTCTTTGGCATTTCATCCCCTGCACTGTTCCTACAGTGTAAGGCTCTGGAGATAGGACATCGTATTATTAATCTCTGGATATGTCACACCCGAAGATGCTAATTCTGAATGGTGAGTCTCTGAGTGAGAGGAACACTGGCCAAAAGAATCATTGATGAGTGTACTTGGTGCCTGATGCTCCACAGCATATGACAACATCACAAGAAAGCGTCACTAATGGACCAAATTAGTAATGCCTGCCCAGATAGAAAAAGCCCAGCAGTAGATGTTGAGGCAGATATGGTCTTTAGGGAGAACATAAGAGAAGGTCAAGGACTGTATATGCATAATTTGTGTTGAAGACACAAGATCTGGGAGTGTGTCTATGTCTGTGAACACTGAAATGTCTCTAGCTTTCTCACAGGAGAAAGCCTATGACCTCCCGGGGGGGAGGAGGCTCTTAGGGCCTCTGGGGCCTGAAACCTCAGGGGAACCCTGTGCTGAGTCCAGCTATTCCTGGGCACACCTACCAGGGGGCTCTCTCTGAAGAAGTTGGCTGGGGATGGAAAGGTTAGGCAAGGATGGATGGTGTTATCCACAGGAAACATTGCTCTTTGAGGAACTCAAAAAGATGAAGCTTTCCAGTATCTGCTCTGCTGATGTTGGCCTTAGAAGACCTAACAATTTCCCAGATTCCTCTCTTTCCCACAGCTCTCCCAGTGACCAGGCCACAAGAAGTCAGCACAGATCTCAAAGCCTAGACCGAGGGTCTGGGAAAGTGCAAGAAGCACATTACCTGGGAAGGGGATGAGGACACCAAAAGCCCATGTTTGTGGTTCAGGGTCAGGGGAGTACATTTCTAAGATAATGAAGCAGAAAAGCAGTGAGGCCCATTGTGTGCAGGAACAAGTCTGCTGGGCTGACCACACCAATTGGCTAGATGGAGAACACAGTTGATGGGGAACTGGTGGTAAAGTTGGGTTTGGCATAGGTAAGACAGCTGAGGCTGAAACTAGGTTGGAGCCAAAGCCTAAAATGGATGGGACTCCTCCCCCACATGACTCCTCTCTCACTCCCTCTACCAAATCTGTCTCCACTGCCTCTTCCTATCCAGTCCATATCCCTCTATCATCACCTCTACCTACCCAGCCTCATTACATG